ATCAGTTGTGAATCGTGTGTACAGCCCGTCCTCTAAACAAAGACCCAAAGACCATTCCATGTACCCGCCAAACCCCTGGTTTATGGATGAAAAATGGTTTACACACGACTCACAACTTATGACGTCCGAACACTTCCGGAACAAGCGCTTCACTGACGACTTTTGTTCGAACCACAACGCTGTAAATGCTTCACCCACGTACTACAAATACAATAATCGCCAACAGAACCTGAATACCTAACCTAACCTAACCAGTGCCTAAATATGCACAGTATGCTAATATTTAATAATATTAATTTGTATTTGAGAAAAGCTCTGTTTTGAATGAACAGAATGTAAAAATTTACGAGTGCGTCTTTGGGGTCGACCGCTGGATAGAATGGACTTAGTCTGAGTACGGGCTGAATAATCACCAACAGAACCTAAACACCCATCCTAACCTAACCAAAGCCTAACTATAAATAGTACTTAAATTAATAATAATGTTAAGAAACCTATTTTTAAAACACAGTGTGTTAAAATTGATGAATTCGTGTTGATGGACAGCCGTTGCATTACCGAGCCTGGTCTGAGGGCAGGTTGAGCACTAGTTGTGTTAGGAGCAGGTGGTGATGCAGTGTGAGTTGCAGGTGCTGCTATCAATGTTGCAGGACCAGGAGGTACTATAGGTTGTGTTGTAGAAGCAGAAAGTAGATCAGCTGGTTCTGTTACAGGTGGCAATCCGTTGTCTACTAACAGCCTGTTGATTGTTTGAACAAACAGGTTGTTGTCGGAACCGACAGTCCTGTCGGCAAGGTGTAGCAGTACTATTCCCTGTGGTGGGATTCGGCCACCAGAGGTCGTCGGGTGAGGGTGTGTTTTGCGCATCGCTCTCAATGTTGACCTGGCTGTTGGTGTGTCCGGACCGAGGGTACAGCCCTCCGGCTGTTTGTTTGGCGCCATGGGGGGATCCCTCCCCCTTCCTCAAATCCGCCGTACGGAGACGATTGGCCTCGAATTTTCTGGCAGGGCGTCGTACCTATCCGTGGAAGTGGTAATTCTGGATATGCTCCAAGGGAATGTAACAGATGTTTGTGGGGTGCAGCTCTTCACGACCCATCGCGCTTGTGAAGTTCAACTCCCAGTTGTTTATCAAGATTGGTGGCCCGTTATGATGGTCGCTTGTTTTCCCTCCCTGCCGACGGTTGTACAGTCACTGATCGTTGCTGCAACCTCACATATATGGCGCTTCATATGATCCCCTTCGAGTTTTCGGAGGTGCTGCTTCGTCGTTACTTGTGCAGGGGGTTGGTATGGTTCCAGCGGGTGGTATGGGCCCTGGTGTAGACCTTGTTGTTGGCGTGGGGACTGGTGCGGGGACATTGGTTCCCGTTTCGGAGGCCTTGCCCGCGTCCGTTTGTTCCGGTTCCCCGTGGGGGGGGGGGTGGTTCCCCCCTGCCGAGGATGTTGGGTGAGCATCGTAGGTTGGTGTTGGTCTTGAAGAAGGATGCTCGCCTGGTGGGTTCCGTGCCCCCGTCGGCGGCGGTGGTGCCGCCTCTCCAGCCTCGGCCTTCGTCTTCGATGTCCTCTGCTCGGGGGCGACCGTCTCCGCCCGGGTTTCCGCCTGATATAGTGGTTCCGGAGTTCATGGCGCGCCCGCGGCGTCGTGGAGATGTCCGTCCTACCGACCGAGAGTGGATGACTTGGAATGCTGAAGTTAAAACGTATCCGTAGGCGAATTACCCTGAGAAATATGGGGATTATTAGTGAATTTGATCCTGTTGCACCCGATTCCTGTGTTGCGGGGTTTTGTTTGTCTGTAGGGTTGTGGGGTTGCGTGTGTGCGTGTGGTTGAGGTATTTGTTCCCGGTTCTTGTGTGCTCCGGTTCTGTGTTTGTGTGCATTGTGTTTTGTGTAGCTCTTCTGGCTTTTTGTTTCCTTATTCATTGTTTTTTGTGTGTATTTAGCTGTTTGTCATTTATTCCCTGTTTTGTGCTTTGTCTACTTCTTTGTGGTTTTGCTTCTTACGGTTTTAGGGTTTCTGTACCATGTTTGGTGTTCCTTGTGTGTAATTTGTTGCTAAAGTGTGGGTGTTGTTTTTGTTCGTCCTATGACGTGATTTCTTGTCTTTATTGTGCTTCTTTTATATAAAAAAAAATCCTCTTGGGTGATGGGTTGTGTCGGTGGCTGAGTTTGTGGTTAAGTAGGTCCTTCCCAAGCATTTGACTGAAGTGTGGATGCACAATTTTCCAGCAAGGCGGAGAATACAGAAGCTTGTATGTTAAATGTGGTTGTCGAACGAGTTTTCGGGCGGGTAGTTGCAAATGCTTGTTATGCCTCAGATTTACTTCATTTCCGCCTATCTGAGTGGACACTAAAGTGAAATGGCGATTTGTTGTGCTTGCGGGGGTTGAGCTTCTGCTATTTGGTCCCGCCTTTCAACTTTCAATTAACTGGTGTACTCTTAAGTGTGCACTTAAGAGTGTAATGATCGTAGTGGAAGCACTTGTGGCACTGTTTTAGTGGATGAGATGCCAATACATCTGAATCCATGTAGAGCAACATGGGTTTCCTCGGCTGGAGAGTTTAACTTTAGGTTTAGAGTCGGACGTTGATTGGCTTCCTTCCAAATGAGTTCTTCTGACACAGAAGTTGGGTTGTGTGTGTTGATAATGTCAGGAATAGGCGTATAAGATATGAAAGTACTAATACGTCGACCGTAGAAGGTCCTCACAGCCTGGGTTGTACTCTCGTAGTGGGATTAATATCAGACTGGCTTCTTCTAGTGCAGTGCGGATGGCAGGGGGGAAGAACCCTCAGGCCCCTGAAGAACCTCTTCGTTCTTGAAGAGTCCACTGCCGTCTTCAACGATGTCATCAATGGTTCAACGTCGGTGATTTCCTCCGTGTGTAGAGTACTTCCGGTTGAGTGAATTGGCGGGAGCCCCGGAACATCACATTTATCGTGTGCATCATGATATATAAAGTACCAGAAGCGAGGGCAAGAGTAACCAGCTCCTGCCGCCTCAGCGGCTCAAAGTAGCAGTGGAAGACGACGACTGGCTGTCTGTAGGGCTTGCCTGCTATTGCTCTCCAATGCTGTACTAATGATAAATTTCTCCGGCACTAACAGAAGTTGTCTGCCTACCTCAGAGTATTCTGCTTTTTTTTAACTCGTTGTGGGCAACAAACTTTTTTTGTAGTAAACAGTTTAACTTTGCTCCTTCATTTAAATGAAACTAACTTTTATATAGTCGTGTGATTGTAAATTGACTTGACCAGAAATTTATAATGTATTTAACAGTAATTATATAATGTGGCTCGATGTGAGTCGATTAGTCCCTTGTTGTAGAGCAAACATTGCCACCATGTCCTAAAAGATGAGGCAGTCCTTGTCAAGTCCATTTATAGGAATAGGTTAGATTTTTACTATTGATCACTAAGCAATTTCTACTAATATAAATAAACCTTCAGATATTTTCGTCTAACTCCCTACAATTGTAGCGTATTTTATAACTTAAATACTGTAGTCTAACTTAGCTTAGTGCCATTTATTATATTTATAGTCAATAAGGAGCAATAGGTTATGGTATTATAGGTTTTGGTGGTTGTGGTCCTTTCTCACGAAGCCACTAATACACGTAATATTACGGTACATGCTTTCATACATGACAACATGTAGAGGTTTGTGATCTCTTACGTGTTCTGTGGTCAAACTCATTTATTTATTTATTTACTTTATTATTCATTTATTTAATTTATTTATTTAACCTTTTTCTTTTTTTTTATTTTTTTCCTTTCCTTTTTTTTCCTTTTTTTCTTGTTTCTCTCTCTCTCTCCAAAATTTTCTGTTGACATAGAAAATACTGTAATCCTAAATGTAAGTTATGTATATTAAACATTGAAGTCAGACCAATCCATATTTTTATAACAAACATCAAGCTAACCTGGTTGCTTGAAAATGTACCTTTGTTGCTACTCAATTAAAATAATTTGATTAACCTTTGAATCTAAACTTTCCAGAGTACATGAAAACAATTGCTTATTTGTAATGTAAAGATCATTACAACTCATAATTTTAAACCCTTATATACAGTATTATTACTTAAATACAAATTTGTTACAGCTCTGAAAAAATTACTGATAATAATGATACTTGGTTTAGTCTGACCTGATTGGGTGTAACTAATATTTTTAGTAAATCACTTCAAATGTCTTGGTAAATTTTGTTGCCAATTACATTCGCCAATTAGTAAATAATAAACTCTTAAAAAAAATACTATCAATCTCTTAAATTGTGATGTAAACCCTGATTAGCAGATTACATACTGTAGTACCAAAGCATTTTCTCTTAGCATCCATGGCAATATCTAGTTTGGCCCTATCATCATAATTATCAAAATCCATTGCCCATTTATTTAGTTTCTGTGGCTATACTGTAATCCATTGTTATATAGTACTGTATCTATACATCTATTATTGCCCATGCTATGCTTTCTCTCTCCACTATGTTGAATTAATGTTTCTCCAGTGCTAATCTAACATGAAACCAACATTAATAACTGATATTACATTAATTCAATTTGTTGTTTTGTATTTTAGGAAATTTGCTGGAAATGAGACAAATTGAATATTTCGACATTTTTTGTGGTTTTATTAGCTTTCAGTTTTCAATGCTCCAATTTATAAAAATGGTCACAGATACTGTAAAGTACTTGTATCATTAATTCAGTAATACTGAGAGCACAGACTAACAAGCTGCATCATGAAGAAAATGGTCATAGAGTATAGTACTGTACTGTCCTTCATGAGAAAATCAGCAGGTACCATGAGGAGGAATTGAACCCGCACACTTGGTACTCCCAGCCTAGTTGATACAGCTTGGAAGTACCAATTGAAACTTACTTTTTTATCGATACATCACGTTAATGCGATTTCATTGTAATTACACAAGTGTAGTTGCAGGATGAGAGCTACACTCGCAGTGTCCCACCGTCTCGGTACTCTTTGTCGTATAACGCTTTGAAACTACTGACAGTTTTGGCCTCCACCACCAGCACACTTAACGTGTTCCAACCGTCTACCACTGTTTCCAAAAGAAAACTTTCTAATAATTTTTCGGCACCTTTGTTTCTTTAGCTTGAACAAGTTTTTTCTTAGTCCTCTTGTTCGGTGTTGTGTACTATCCTTCGTGTCGCTAATACATTGCACATCCCAAAAACCATGCTAATGAATAAGGAAACTAATTCATCTACAGTATTGTACTTTTGAAATGTATTTTTTATTTTTAGTACAATAAATTTAATTCTCCCAGTGTGTCTATAAACTGTACAGAAAAGAAACAAACATTTTGTTGCATTAATTATTTTTAGAAAAATACGGCATAATTTTACCTCGATACACAATACAGTACTGTATATGTACCTCATATCTGCAAGTGTGTAGGATAACTCAGCACTACTGCACATTATAAGGTAAAATGCCAACACTTATGAGCACTGCTTCCTGGTACAACTTGAATTTCTCTAGGATTCTCAAAAGATCACGAGGCAAGTCAAAATGTACTGCAAAAACATTGGTCATAGTAAAGGTGTTGCAGGATATTGTGCACATACACGTGTGATGAGACGAATTACTGTACTGTATTGGGATTTCTCTCTAAATGTTGTGTTAATTCGTGTAGAGTATTTTTTTTTAACAAGAAGAATTGGCAGGGATTGAGCTCGGCTCCTAGGTCCCACCTTACAACTGTCAACTAAAGCAATGAACCTCAAATCTGGTATTTTATTGTGCAGTCTCATATCTTGCAGTGTAATTTGTGTGTGCAAATATTAGCATGTGGACACATATGTCCAATATGTGTATATATATCTGAATTTAATGATACTTTGCTATTCTCTATGTAGCTTGACTTTAATATTTATTTTATTTATTCCTCTAAATTATCTTTTACAAAGAAGGAAAGGAGAATAGATAAAACTATTTAAGTAGAAACATATAGTAATACAAAAAATTGGCATGGATAAGTGAACTTAAACCTGCCTTTAAGCAATATGAAGCAATGCGAAGATTCTACTATATCACCACAGCAGCAATTGAAAATGTGTTGAAACATTTTGGATTTTTTATGAAATAACTAATCGTAGCCAATTATAAAGACTGCTATTCTAGCCTATTCAGTACTGTATAAGTAATATCTTTGATCTGCATAATATAGCTACTAGAGCATTAAGAAGCATATTAATGCCACTAACTAAAACAAATATATTACAAATTACATAAACAAACTAGTAGCTACTGTACAACTCCACTGTATTTAAAATTTGGTGCCCAATTAAAACTGTTGTATTAAAATGCATAGCTTTCAGAATATTTTGTAAAGTAACTCATACCATTTAACATCTCCAAAAGTAATATTAATCATTAAAATAGGCAAAGATTTAATCTTCGCTACAAAAAAATATACAGAGTACAGTATGCTCAATACAATACATTTCAAAATCTTCAGATCCCTTTTAGCAAATATTTGCATTATCTAAAAAAAAATATACATTGATATTCAGTCATAAATGAACACACATACAGTATGTATATACTAAAGCATACAGATAAATAACAAATATTGATACCAAATATAAATTCCAGATAGTAAACATCCTCACTGTGTTTTGAATACCTGAGGTATTGGTGTATCCAGCAACTGCACCATATATTACTAGTATGTTATTGTCCCATACTTTTATATATATGCTGATCACACACTAGGCTTAAATACCTGGATGAAAGGCAATATTAATTTCCATATTACAGACTACCTAGTCAACAGAATATTCTCATACTTTATGACAGAGTCAACATCATCTGTTATTTTGCTGTCGCATTACTCGTGGCCCGCCACCCAATATTACACAATCTGGTCGAGCAACCTTTGCCTCTTGGACAGCACCACTTGTTACTTTTGTGTTGGTTACATCAAGCAGCCGCAATGATGGAGCCAGTCGAATTATCTCTTGTAAGCCATAGTCAGAGATAGCACAGCCAGACACTACTAAAGTGTGCAGATGTTTAGTTGTTGAGCCAAATGCACGAACTAGCTTATCAGATAAGCCTTCATCTGGAACCTGACAAGCTTCACAATGCAAATCATCCTCGTGGTCTCCTGCTGGCTCTTCTCTGTTTTCTCCTGTATCATCATTATCCTCCTTATTCTGATTGTTTTTACATGAATTATCTTTCTTTCCTTCTCTTTCATCTGAAATTGCCCGGCTTGAACTGTCCCGTGCTTTCCCTTGTGCTTCACCTGTACAAGATTTATGCTCTCTCTTCTCATATCCTTGCACTGCACCATTATCTTCATCATCATCGCAATCATCATCATCATCCTCCTCTTCATCATCATCGTCATCATCACTGTTTTCCTCTGCTTCAACTGGCCTTCCATCTTTACCAATAAAATAGTGCCTGTCTTCATCTTCCTCTTCTGCACGGTGCTGTTGGACAACAGGAGCATTCCTTACCCACTGGAGACCCATTCCATCCAGTTCCTCATCATTTACCTGTCGCCACTGAGGTCCATTTGGTCCAACATTGATAACCACAACTTGCTGCCTTTCTTCTTGCCACCGAGGATCTGGCATAATTAGGTTGTGCCCTCCTGGTGGTTCCTCTGGCAAACGTTTAACTGGTCCCATTGGACCTAAGTATAGGGCTCTCAGTTTCCCATTTCTCACTACTGATATCACTTCATTGTCTTCTAAGCTAGTTCCTCTCAAGTCCAATTCCTCTAAATTCTGAAAACCGAACCGAAAACCAAGTGCAAGGTACGCCATTGCTCTGCCTACCTTTGGTAAATTTCTTAATACCAATTTTTTTAAAGAATCAACTTTACTAAGCACCATGACATCGTAATCATCCACCCAAGTACACTTGATAATTTTCAAGCACTCTAATCTAGGAAGAATTTTTTGTGTTCTCTTAAAATATGACCCATCTCTTAAGGGTGAAGGTAGATTCACAAACTCACAGTCAACAAGACTAAATTTACTGAGAGACTGAACAGGCAAAAAATCTGCCATTTTGAGTTTGTTGGCATCAATATAAGCTTCACTTAATGTTAATTCCTGAAGGTTTGGGCATTTCTCTCCAATAAGCTTTAAAAGACCTGCACTTATGAGAGGAGTTTTCCACTTGGGGGTCCCTGCATATTTCTTCTTGTGTCCTCGCAGAATTAAACGACGAGTAGTTGCACGCAAAAACACATGGCAACGCTTTAACTGCTGCAAAGATAAGCACCCTTCACTGAAGTTTACATCAATCCACAATGACTTGTCACCTGCCACTTTGTTGAATCGTTCACATGTTCTGAAAATAAAGACATTAAATTTATATCAAGCATATAATACCACAAATCAGCAATTTACCTTCAACATTATCTCAAACTTTTAACTAATTTTTTATTAAATATTTGTAAGTAAATACTTTATTATATCCAACAACAGTCCTGTTGACCTGGACTAGGCATGTCCTGTTTAAACCCAACCCTTCTCCCCCATATACCTATCCAATCAATTCACCATCTATACCTATCCACCATCACCCCAAAAGGTGGCGCGGCAAACAGACCTCCAGCAAGGACAAATATTGCCTACCCTTGGCTGAAGGGTAGGCAATATTCTCTCTCTAAAAATGCAGCAGCAGCATACAATGAATTGTGGGTAAATGTTGGAATAACTGAGATGTTGTGCATAATATTGTGAATTTGTTTATTTTTGGACATTCATGGTGTTCAAAAAGAGAACTTGATAAACAGCACTAAAGGATACCTGATCATCTAGACTGATTCATACATAAGATTGAAAGCAGCAGCATCTAACAGCCTGGTTGACCAGACCACCAATCAGGAAGTCTGGTTAGAAACCGAGCTATGGAGACATTCATTCCCAGAACCATAAACAGGTAGACAACAGGTAGGTTAGTCAAATATTCAGCTAACACAAATGGGAGGTTGGCCCCTTATTTGTATTACCGAGTTTTGATTGTATTTGTATATGTATACTATTCTATATAATTTGTTCAGTACTGTACATGGGAAAATTAATCAACTCCCTTCAATAAGTCTAAGTTGAGAATCAAGTCAAGGACTATTCAGACACTAACACACCCTGAGGAAAACAACTCAGAAAGAACACTCAAAACCTCCTCAGAAAAGATAACGCTGGTGAAGAAATGCAAAATGCAAGCAGACACAAAGGTATACAACCCTGAAATAAATTCAGGGAGAACTATTAACTAAGGACACACAAGATGGGGATGCATAGGCACAATTGTGAAGCATAATGAATAAATACATGCTATGTATAGCCCCGCCCCATGGGACGACCACGTTCAAAAGAACATGAACCCCCCCCCCCACTTTGATCTAAATAATACAAAGGATATAGGTGTAAAGTTACTGCCAGCTATGTGAGAGGTGGAATGCTTTAGTGAACTACAGCTGCCATCTGGTGATCTCTCGCCTCTATGTGCACACCAGATTCTGGTCCTGGCGCTTGGTAGACCTGCACAAGTTCCAGAGACCTGGGTGCTTTGTGAATGTCTCAATGGTGCCAGAGCAAATGCACCAGGAATTTACCAAGAACCAGCCCAGAAAGATAAGCAAATAAATGAATTTTTGTGTATGTTATCATTCATAATTATTTATATGCAAACAAAATAATTGTATATTACGGCTGAATATTCTAAAATGTGCATTATATAATTTACTATAAGAAAAAGCAGAAAATTAGATGAACAGCCAAAAAAAAAAAAAAAAGAGAGCTCATTTTATGAAATCTGGATTTCACTCACATCTGGCTCTGATCTGGAACAATATGATCTGCTTTTTTGAGGAAGTAGTGAATGTGGATAATATTTTCATCAAGTGACCCTATTATGGGAATTATAATATAGGCTGCAGTGCAAAATATACTGTAGTCGATTACTATAAATTTGCCTTAAGTATATCCCTATACTGTACACATATACTGTTCAATAATTATGTAAATTGAATGTATTATTATTATTATTATTATTATTATTATTATTATTATTATTATTATTATTATTATTATTATTAAAGTACTTAAAATTTGCTTTGCACATTTTTTTTAGTAATTTGTCACCAGCTATTGCTAAATGAAGACCACTGGTTATTATAATCCACAATCTTTGTTGCAATGAACAAATTACATGAAAATATTTTATTGACCATGAAGTACATTGTGGCTTACCGACTTACGATAGTGTCGTCAACTAACGATATTCGTTGATACATGTTCAGGTCGACCGAGCACATGCTTTCCGGTCGCATGGGCCGACCTGTCTCAGTTTACTAGAGCCGCCCTTTTAGTGACAATCACACTTATAAGAAATTCCATTTTTGTGGTGATTCTTTGCTTTTTGAACATAAAAGTGATTATTATATAACACGCCATGGGTCCCAAAAAAGTTTGTGGTAAGGTTTAACCCAAGAAAACACATGTGAGGATGACCACAGAGAAAAAACAAGTGATCCTTTGTAAACATGAAAATGGTATGAGGGTTATTGATGTGGAGAATGTCCCTTCTTGATTTATTATGAAAATGCGTGCAGCATGGGAAGAACTGCAAACTTTTGCTGAAAGGACTCACCCAAAACAAGCTGCAGTAGGTCGTTGCCTTAACCTTTTCAATGACATTGTGATGCATCACTACAGATAAATGTTAAAGCAAAGAGAAAAACAAGTGTTGCTAGACAAATTTTTAGTGAGACAAACAAGCAGTGAACCACAACCATGTCCTAGTGGTATGCAAGCAAAATGTTGGAGAGAGTGTACCCCAGAGAAATCATCACTGCCTGATGTTATAATGGAAGGGGACTCCTCTTCCAAACAGTAACACATCTCCTCCTTTCCCCCCTCATCACCATCTTCCATATACCATCAAGAGTCCTCCATAAAGGTAAGATAAACATATGTACTGTATTGTAGTAAGAGAAAAAAAATTGTATTCAGTATAAAATGTATTTTTAAATTAATATTTTTGGGTGTGTGGAACGAATTAATTCAATTCTCTTTATTTCTTATGGGAAAAATCGTTTTGACTTATGATATTTTGACTTATGATACGTCTCTGGGAACGGATTACCATCGTAAATCGGGGCCCCACTGTATAGCCTATTTTAAAAATGTTATACTGTATTCTTAATTAATTAAAATTCCATATTGCATACTCTTTAACATGCACATTATATACATGATTATATTTGTCAAGATGGTATAGATGATTACTAACTGCATGGTGATCTTTACTCTTAAATTTGTCAAATATATGCCATCTATATATAATTTGGACTGGTATACTGTATTTTAATTTGTAAATGAACTATTAAAAAATCCAAAATGGTTTAGTATTATACAAGTTAATGATTAGTCTGTATTAAGAAAGACTGAGAAACAGGGCAACTTGTTTCAAGTTCTCCTAACAACTGGTCGACATGTCCCTCCCCCCCCCCCCCCCAAAAGCAGGGCAAAATAGCTCTGCATGTTGTAAAGGGCACAAAAGTATCTGATACCTGCCAGAACTTCTGGCTTCAGGCCAGGTCAAGCCTGGCCTCAGGCCGGGTCGAATATGTCCTCAGGCCGGGCTCAGGGAGTAAAAGAACTCTCAGAACCCTCTCCAGGTATGCTCCAGGTAACTTGCAGGGTGTTGAAGCCTGTGCTGTTAGCTGACAGCTGAATGTTTTGAAAATAGTAATATGGATAGTTATTTGTCAGCAAGATAAGCCATCCCATTTCCAACCCGAAGTTTCCAGCAAACCATGCTGTTGTAATTTTCTTTGGCTTTTTTTTTTTTACTATTTAAATGAGTTAGGGTGTTATGTTGGGCTTAAAGCAGGATAATGTTGTGAGAGATCAGGTTAGGTAAGGACAAGTTAGGTAGGGACACATTAGGTATGGGCAGGTTAGATAGGAAAAGGTTAGGTAGAGAGAGAGGCTAGGTAGAGAGGGGCTAGATAGGTAAAGGTTAGGTAGAGAGGGGCTAGGTAGGGAAAGACTAAGTAGGTAAAGGTTAGGTAGGGACAAGTTAGGTAGGCAGAGGGTAGGTACAGACAGGTTAGGTAGATGCTAGGTATGGATAGGCTAGGTAGGAACAGGTTAGGTAGGGACAAGTTAGGTAGGGACAGGTTAGATAAGAGCAGGTTAGATAAGAACAGATTAGATAAGATTAGGTTTTTACCAAACTAGAAATAAGGTAAAATATAAAACAACGCAACTTGTGGAATATAATCAGCCATATTTAAGACTGATGATGCTTGGGAGTGTTTTAGCAAGACTCAAAATGTTTATGGAAAATCAGAGATAAGTTCTGGCTGTGCTTCTGTGCTCAAGTTTCAATATACCTAAACAAAAAATGGATTTAAGATTTGTCAAAATCTAAATCGCCCTTTGAGCTAGTTTTTTTTCTAAATGGTTTGATCAAATAAGTCATTGATTGCGTCAAGGTCTTATGAAGAGTGACTTACTGTGAGAGAGTGAGAAGATCCCGAGACTTGAGGTACGAGAATATAAGTAGAAGGACGTCATCTGAAAGGTCAAGTATGGAGGCTGGGCCAAAAAAAGCCATACTGGCCTTCTTTGAGTGGAAAAACTACAGCGAGCCAGACACCACAGAAACAATCACAAAGCATCAGCCTCGCGCGAGTCCGATACCTCCGTCATCACAACACAACCCAATGCACAACTGAAATATACTAACAAAATACTTATTAAATCAAACAAAATTGCATTTATATTTATATTAACATTAAGACAGGTAAAGCAAAAATCTAAAAAAATATTTTGCTAATTATGACCGTAGTAGCAACGAGTCTTCCTAAGCCAAAGCCACGATATATGAAGCGAACAAATCTATTTGGTGTTGACAGCGTTCATTGTGTACATTAAAAAACCTAAACAAAACTCCCCGTATGTCTCCAGTAATTTGTAGCGTCATTCAGATAGTCTTTTAGAACAGCTGAAAGGATATTAATACCAGGGATTTTATTTTAGTTATCATATTCAAAGTTGTTAATGACCAAACGTGAATTCATTCCGTCTACAGCGGGAATTTCAAACACCGTGAAGGCAAGGAGGGTGTTGAAAACTATATTTACACAAATAAATAATAATAAAACATAACTTTTTGTATAAACTAGCTCAGATACACATAATTTTACTGCTAAGCTAATCCATATGACATGTTCCACTGGATGGAAGGTCATAGCTCGAATGTGAATCTAGATCTAGTCTACTCGTTTGCACTAGTAAAATTCTAGTACTTTACTAGTAAATTCAGTTTAGCATAGTCTCTGGGCAGAGTATGAGAACATCTAATATTCGTGAGTGCATTAAACTAGCTACAACGCTCCAGGTAACTCACGTCATTTAGTGTAAAATCATTCACTATAACATTGAAGAGCGAGTCCTGTATAGTTTCTACACTAACCCCACCAGCTCCATAACTGATACAGCCAGCTCTCCAGGGCTGGAAACCACCATGAAGACCCCCATCCATCGCCAGATCTCTAGTATCAGCTATTGATACAGATAATGGCTCCAATCGAGCCTCCACTTACGGGCTCACCATAGCCCGTGCTACTGGAACTTCTTGTTCTGAGTAGCTGAATCAAAAACAACAAAACAACCTGTACAGTATAGTTAGTTGTTTTATCGACGGAGTATTTGGAGTATCTGCTGTCAGAAGACTCGTAATACCGCTCACAGGATGAATATGGGGTGTGTAATAAACTACCGTTCGCATGAGTATGGAGTGCACAATAAATTTATAATTCATAATTCACAAGACTGAATAAATTGCATCTTTGTCTTATGTTCTGTGTATGTAAAATCTTATGAATAAATTATTTTATTGTTGCTATTATTGTTATAAAAAAATTGTTGGTGGCCTCGACGTGCGTGCGAGGGGCCACCTGTACGTTGTAGTCGTTCGTGTAGTCGTTCGTATAGACCCGCGTAAACAAACACAGGTGAATACCATAGTCCTTGGTGGAGATCAACACGATAACCGTAGGGAGGGAGGAAGACGGAAGGTGTATAGGGGAAGACGAGAAGAAGAGGGACGGACGGATAAATGAGTTTAGTTCATTTATTATGCACCCCATACCCATCTTGAAGGGCACATAATGGGCTCAGGACGGAAATATGCAGTTACAAAATTCAGTGTGAGTACACGACACACACAACCCCCCATCCCTATCTCTCTACCTGCACAAACTGTACATTGGGCGTTAGGGCGCTGAGTGGACAGCGCGCGGTACTCGTAAGCCTGTGGCCCGGGTTCGATTCCCGGCAACGGTGAGTAACAATGGGCAGTTTCTTTCACCCTGATGCCCTTGTTACCCCAGCAGTAAATAGGTACCTGGGAGTTAGACAGCTGTTACGGGTGTAACAGACTGCTTCCTGGGTGTATGTGGAACAAATAATTAGTTAGTAGTTAGTAACAGATGATTGATTGATGGGCCGAAGGCGGCGGGCCGAAAGAGCAGAGCTCAACCCCTGCAAGCACAACTAAGTGAATACATACACACACACAAACAGAGGCTACAGGATGACTTGGACAGACTGAAGGAATGGTCCAACAAATGGCTGCTAGAGTTTAACTCAAGCAAATGCAAAGTGATGAAGATAGGGAGCAGTAGGGAGCAGGAGACCAAACACAAGGTACCAACTGGGAGAGGAAATCATTCAGGAGTCAGGACGAGAGAAAGATCTGGGGGTTGATATCACACCAGGACTGTCCCCTGAAGTCCACATAAAAAGGATAACATCAGGGGCGTATGCAAAGCTGGCGAACATAAGAACTGCCTTCAGAAACTTGTGTAAGGAAGCATTCAGAACCTTGTATACCTCATATGTCAGACCAATACTGGAATATGCGGCTCCACCGTGGAGTCCACATCTAGTCAAACACAAAACGGGGTTAGGAAAGGTTCAGAGGTATGCCACCAAGCTAGTTCTCGAACTGAGAGGAATGAGCTATGAGGAAAGATTACTGGAACTGAACCTCACGACACTGAAAGACAGAAGAGTTAGGAGAAACATGATCACAACCTACAAAATTCTCAGAGGAATTGATAGGGTAGAAAAAGATAAACTGTTTAACACGGGTGGTACGCGAACAATAGGACACAAGTGGAAACTGAGTACCCAAATGAGCCACAGGGACGCTAGAAATTATTTTTGTGTGTCAGAGTATTTAATAAATGTAATGCATTAGGCAGTGATGTGGTGGAGGAAGACTCCATACACAGTCTCAAATGTAGATATGATAGAGCCTAATAGGCTCAGGAATTTGTACACCGGTTAATTGCCAAATGAGAGGCGGGACCAAAGAGCCGAAACTCAACCCCCGCAAGTAAAACTAGGTGAGTACACACACACACACCAATAAACACTATACAGGACTCATATACATAAGTAATTATTACACCATATATTACGCTTGATGGTGAGCGAGATACCGACACAAGAAAGAAAACAATCAGTTAATGATAATTCCGGCCGTTTATATCCATGTGGAAGAGTATGAATCCTTAGTTCCAGGTCGGAGAGTGGCCAGAAGAGTTGATTCATCGTCTCCTGTCAGGCTCAGTGTGTATATATATCTTGGTTAATACAACCCGTTATTATTTGATGATAGGGCCACACTCCCGGTCCCTCCTGTGGTGACCCACACTCACACTGACCGTCACATTGCAGCAAACTTAAAAACAATATTCGGAGTATTTCCTGTTTTACAGGAATGCTTCGACGAAAATTAAACTGCAGCGATTGGAATCGTCACGAAGGGTCACTGACCCCCAGCGTTCGGGGCCACCATGAGGGGTCACTGACCCCCAGCATCCGGGGCCACCATGAGGGGTCACTGACCCCCAGCATCCGGGGCCACCATGAGGGGTCACTGACCCCCAGCATCCGGGGCCACCATGACGGGTCACTAACCTCGACACTTCTTTACTACCCTCGTCGTCACCTCCGACTACGGCACCTCTTTCTTCTGTTGGCTTTCCAGATTTCTTCAGGTGAGTGGGTTTTTAGTTTGGTTTAGTTCATTTATTATACGCCCCATACCCATCTTGTGGGCGGTAGTGTAAAGTTTAGGCTTAGGGATGGAGCCCCACAATTCATTTAGCTAAGCAAGTTACAATCTTGATGAGCTAGTTACAAAATTCAGTATAAGTCGTCACATCATCAATGAGTTCGAGATCGATCACAAGTACAGTTTTTTTTAATTTTGCAACTGACATATGTGGAGAGCTAGTGTCACAATTGATATTAGGCTATTAGGCTATTAGGACAATATCCAATTCTGGCCCCAGACACCACTCGGTACCCCTACTTAAATCTCTGAATATGTTAGACATTAAGTCACTGCACATTCTCTCATGTGTATTATACATATATAAAACGCTAAACTATAATGCCAATCCTGATCTCAAAAGCTTCATAGAAGGTTGTATCAGAACCCATGAGCATCACACCAGAAATAAATACAGTTTTGATATTCCTAGAGTACGACTTAATCAAACTAGAAATGCTCTACAAATCAAGGGGCCCAGAATGTGGAATGACCTTCCCAACCATGTTAAAGACTGTACCTCTCTCAACCAGTTTAAGTTAAAAGCGAAGCTATACCTAATAAATTCCCTGTAACCTACCTTACCCTTCTATTGTCAACCAATGTCTGTTTTTTTCTTTAAAGAGCGCTGTTTGTCGACATAATTGTATTTGTGCTGCTTTTTCATCTATGTTTTCATTTCTTGTTTTCATTCTACTCATTATGCTCAATTAGTATTAAGCTTGTCATTTAAGTTTATCATGCCCGAAACGCTTTGCGTAATAGTGGCTTTAGGCATTGTATGTACTAGCTATACCTATAAGTTAAACAATCCTTGTAAATATTTATTGTATGTATGTACCTTACCTAAATAAAATTGTATTGTATTGTATTGTATTGTATTGATATATTTGTCCTGCACACCGCCCCCCCCCCTCCCCCTCATCCACTGGGCAGCGGCGGATAGGTTACAATCACTTAGTTTCTACCTTGATGAGCTAGTTACAAAATTCAAAGCACATCTTCACATCAACAATGGCCTCGAGACCGACCACAAGTACAGCTTCTATTTTAAGCAACTGTGAGTGAGTAAGTAGATTTGACTGTTATATATTTCCTAAGGAGTTCGCTGGCACTAGTGAATCAGACTTACACCGAGTGCATTAACACAGGGACAACGAGGGCTAGCAGGCGGGGCATAGAGAGCCAGACCACATTTCCCCGTAGACAGTTAGGTCAGTACTGTTGAGGACGTATTTCTTTGACGCAGTTCCCTGCCTTCCGCCAGGAGAGTGTGTTGGTGTGGTGGCGCTGGCCGGCGGGTCAGCCTCTCTGTGTGGCACTAACAACACTGTCCACCGCCCCCCCTTCGTCGACGTCGACTGGAATAACTTGGCAGTGTGCGCCCTTCTGCAGCCCCAGCAGCAGCAGACGGAGAAACCCAAGCAGAGGCGACAGCAGCAGATTAAGGCACAAACCAACCAACAGGATGGTCAATACTTCTATTGCAACACTAAAGACATCAGTCTTACAGCTGGTCAGCTTCTTGCGTTCCTTACTTTATTTCACATTATTTCCATTTTCAGTAAAATTGTAGACTACTGAATGTATGTTGACTGATTCAAAAACAATACCTTGGGAAGGATCCAATAAAGTTGTCGCAGTATAAACAAAAATATTCTACATCAAAATTAATTTTTGGAAGCATCGGTACATATTTAGATAGCTAATATTGAGAGATATATCAATGAATTTTTTATTTAGATAATAATGTTATGTAATGTGGGGTGATTTTAGATGTTTGAATGCAAAAACAATAGTCCGGTAGCCATAGGTATCACGATAGATACATATGGAATAAGTAACAGCTTTCATGTTACTTCCACATGTTGTAGGGTTCAATGACTCCAGCCTGTGGGTGAGTGTTGGCGGGAGCCGCTACACCTTCCCCGCGACACTACTGACGGACGCTTGGAACCTCGTGTGCGTCGGTTACTCCACTCACCAAAACCAAGTTATTAATATAATTTCTTTATGGAAGTAGAGGGAAAGGGGGGGACCGTGTTCGGGCGAAACAATTTAAGTCTACGGTCTCGATACCAATATCAATTTCGTATCGGGGGGCGGGTTAGAGTGCGTTACCACGAGGGAGGTCTCAGGGGTTATGCTGGGTGCATGTAAGGAGAAAAAGAGTGGCATTGAAAAAGGCGATGGAGAAGACTGGTGGTGTAAAATGCGAGGCTACGTGTAGCCTGTAGCCTCGCATTTGTAGCCCCTGTAAAATGCAAGGCTACATGACGGTAACTTTGGGTATGAGGAAGGGGAAAGGTTTGTTGGAGTTGGGAGGAGTTGAGGAAAAGGAAACTACCAGCAGAAAGCGCCAAACCATTACAACTCTTATAACATTTGGAAGGGATCAGGATAAGGATTTGGGATGGGACGGGGAAAGGAATGATGCCCAACCACTTGGACGGTGGGGGATTGAACGCCGACCTGAATGACGTGAGACCGGCGCTCTACCGTCTAGCCCAAGTGGTTGGGCAGGTAGGGATTGAGTGAAATATAGTTCGGTTTCCTTATGATATTTAGGATCTGTGATTTTTCCCAGATTGTCAACGTCGACGGGAGGTTAGAATGACATCTGTAATGTGAATCGAGGATTGTGTCATATTCGTGAGAATTGATTTGGGCTCTTAATCTTCAGCCCAAACACTTGGGGTGGACGGTAGAGCGACGCTCGCTTCATGCAGGTAGGCGTTCAATCTCCGACAGTCCAAGTGGTTGAGTACCATTCCTTTCCCTCGTCCCATCCCAAATCCTTGTCCTGATGTTTTTGTTGTTGTTTTAGATTCAGCTTCTTGGAACAAAAGTTCCAAGAACCAATATGGTGAGCCAGTAGTGGACTTGCCTGGCACAGAAGCGGGGCTGTAATTGTGTGTTGTCCTGATCCCTTCCAAGTGCTATATAGTCAATGGCTTGGTGCTTTCTCCTCATAGATCCTTTCAATGATTTTCAGAAAACAGCCTTACTTTGTCTTTAGTATTTTACTCACTAGTTTGTTATCATCAGTGACACTGTTTTTCAACATCTTCCATCTCCTAAAATAAGAAACCAATACCATAAGTGGTTCTGTTTAAGTTAAGGTTAACAGTTTCTCTCAAGTTTTGCCTTCCTCATTGTGGCTTTGCAATTTATAGTTCCTTTGAGACAACATTGGTGTTCAGGAAGTTAACTTATTTTTTTCGTTCTCATCACCATGTTCCAGCTGAACGTAAGAATACATCCAGAATTTACGTTAGCGATAGTTTGCACGTCTTTTATAGACTATTGAATACTTTGCTGCACTGCTTGTAATGTGTGATCGCTTAAAATTTTATACAGCATGTTTTCTAACTTATTATTTGATAGCACCATTTTCGCCTTCTAAGTACCACATATATTACAGGTCTGGGCACGTGTAGGGGAAATCCTTTTGAACTGGACTAACGTTGAGAAGACTTATGGCATTGTGTCTGAGGACAGAGGGGTGTGTGTGGGCTCCCATCTCAACCACCAACGTTCCTTTACTGGGTTGGTTGCTGCTATTTCCATCCAGCCACGGCTCATCAACGGCTCCTCTGAGCCTGTTACTAATTGTAATAATCTTGTGGACAACAAAAAGGCAGCCATCCCCATCAATTCAACCTGGATTAGTCGAGGAAATGTATTGCTAGTTGATTATTCACTAGACGAGCTGTGTTCTCAATCATTGGATAGTTTGCTGCTCAAAGAACCTTGTGATTATAATGGAATGTTGAGAATATGTAAAGGGTTTGGCGGACATTTTCCAACGGAAGAGGAGGTGGCGTCTGGAGGCTTGGAGGTGGCTAACAGTGTGGCCAGCCACTGCATCACAGACGAGACTCAGGTGTCGTGGGTGGGCAGCAAGGGTCGATATGGGGAGGGTCTAACAACTCTGTGCCCGACCTTGTTGACTAACGGCACCTTGGGGTCACGCACTTGTCTCAGCGAACTGGAGTGTAGCGTATGTCGTGTTCCCGCCACACTTCGCTTCACCCTCTTCGGCGACATCCATGACTTTGACAGATACTACTTCTTGCGTATAATGCCCGACGGAAATATTTACTTCAAAGGACAAGAAACATGCAACATCACTCGAAATGACAACAAGTGGATCCTGAGATCTCGTCTACATCGCCGGGAGTGGCAGCTACAACGAGGCTCCCAGCCAGTAGGGCGGCATCGCTGGTGCTCTGGTGACGAAAACACAACTCTGACGTTGACGTCCTGCAACATCTTACAGTTCTCCTCCCATGATGGCGTCTGTTTACCTCGGAGCCAGCGATGTGACGGTAACAAAGACTCTCCCGACGGGAGCGACGAAGAAGGATGCCGAAAGAGACTTGTTGACAAGGAACCAGGCTATGAACGTGAAGTTACTCCAGTTTATGACTCTAATGACCAAGGGATAGTGACATATAGCTATGAGATTTTTAATATCGATCAAATTACCAATGAGAAAGGCATGGCACATCTTGACATCGGGTTTTTCATGTCATGGCATGATCCAAGAGTCCGTTTCTGGGATTTGGGAGAAAATTTGCATTTCATTTCGTGCGATGAGATATGGTATCCAAAACTTGGTATGTTTGCTGGATATAAGCAAGGACCTGGTATTAACGTGGAATGCTACAGTTCACGCTGCAATACAAGGAAGAATATGAATTCCATTGAGCAGTACGACTTCAAGGATGCATTTATGGGTAAGCTGTGTTGACAACACTTTAGTTATTAGAAAACTAATCTTTATTTGAGTTTCTAGAATTAACCTTCAATATGAGCTGTATACACACATTTGGCGTTTGCTTTTAACACTGCATACGACCAGAGTGCAAGGAGCATCTTGTGCCGTGTTAAGATAAGGAATTAATGTAGGATTTCATGCGAGTATATTGGTCTTATAATACTTTGTAAGGTAAAATGTCAAGTTCTTGCATTTTTTCATGAGTTTGTTTGCTTATCTTCACTAGGAAGGTTCCTGACAGGGCAACAACAGAGTCTGAGGGTTTACTCAGAGTGTCGTGTCAGCTTTCCTTGCAAGTTCCATTTGCACCGCTTCCCTTTTGGTAGTCAGATGTGCAATGGATCATTTTACATCGTGAAGGCTATCACCGAGATGAAGTGGCAGCATAAAGACAATGCAACTGGACCTTACGAAGTGAATTATGAAAATGAAGACTACCTCCTGGACTACCGACTCATTAAGATAACTGGAGAGACCACCGTGGACTTCCATTGGAGTGGGAGACAAAAGACCTTTGCCATCATTACTCTGCACTTACAGAGCCTGTGTGACTATCATCTTCTCAACAGCTTTGCCCCAAGTGCCCTAATGTTCATCATCTCTTACTCAACACTCTTCTTCCCCATCAAGGAGTTTAACGAGAGGATTATGGTGTCACTGACATCCCTGTTGGTGCTTACAGGACTCTTTGCTCAAGCCACTAACTCTTATGTCAAGACACCCTACTATAAGCTACTAGACATCTGGTATGCCATCCTCATCACCCTCTGCTTCTGTATCGTCATAGCTAATGTTGTTGTGAATATGGCGAGGGTGTCCAGGATTCAGACCACCTCCTCTGTTCATGACAATGAGAATGATAATGATGCCTTGATCCTCAGGAAGCCCAAGAGGTTTAACTTCGTGAGCCTTTCATTGTTTCTCTTCCTATTCTTGCTCTTGGTTGTTATATATGTGTGCTTTGCTCTAGACGTTCTATAAGCTAAATTTAGTTTTACGATTATCATAGACATGTATTGTAATTAGAATAAAATTTCTTTAACATTTACTCCATTTTACCATTTGCAGCTTTTTTCTCAATAAATAGTTCTCATATTTTATCATTTCATTCCTACTTCATCCCAATATTATAATCTTGCCAAGCTTCAGTGTTTAAATATAAGCATCATTCCATACAACCTTTGCTGTTCTAGCTGCTGCCTAAATATTTTATTGTTGGCCATTTTTATTATACTAGTTGTGTCTGTCTCGGCCAGTAACTGACCTGCCCCAGGATGCAACCCACAGTTGACATTCTCCTCAGTATATATATTTACTGCAAGGTGAACAGGGGCATCAGAGGAAAGGAAACTTTTCATAAAAGTTTTAGTCCTTCCCAGTTTTTTTCAGCAGGAAGGAGAGATTCCAGAGGCATAGAAGATGAGAAAAATAAGGACCTGTAATTATGAAAAAGGTGCCGTCAAAATCGAAAGACTATACAGCAGTCATAGAATATTCAAAAGTTCCAAGACATTCAAGATATCTAGGAATATACATTAACAAAGACTTAAGACAAGCAATGTCAAAAGTATCACCACCATATACACACTGCGGAGGAAAAGGGGAGAACCTGGTTTACGATTCTGACAGACAGGTGTGATTATTTCAAGATACTCCATTGCCTCAGGCAGTAAGAGAGAATGAGACCAGGTGAAACAAGGATGGCTGGGAGGAGGAAGATGCAACCAAGAGTCAGAGAGCGAACTCTGACTCAGTTCAGAGTGGACATAGAAGAGTCAGGCGGAGAAATGACAAATATGGCAGGTAGGGAATGACTGATAAGTAGTAGAAGCACCAGCCAGAGATACCAGAGTTATCTCCAGATACCACCCTCTGCTTCAGATTATAGATGAGCAGTAACGGAACTGGTGGTGGTGATGGGGGGGGGTCTAAGGCTTGGAGGCAGTTGTGGAACCAAGGAAGGAAAGAATAGTAGGGTAGATGAGTATGAAGCAATGCACGAGTAAGTCATGTCAGAATAGATGGGTCATACCTGGTGTCTTACCACAGTGAAAAATATACAATCTCTATATTTTAAGTCAAGGATGGATTCTTCAAAGTTATAGTGCACACACGAGCATGAAGAGACAGGATGGGTATTGATGCAGAGCTTGGGGGAGAACAACAAATCATGCCCTAATTTCCAACACCCATTGCAGTAGCATGGAGGGAATGAACTCATGAATGAAGCCTCTGACACCAGCAAGAATTACTGAAGATGGGAGGGTCTAACAACTCTAAGAGATTGATGACAGGAGCCAAGTGAATGTATCAACCTGGAGGATAAGATAACCTTGGGCCTTGATGTATTTAATATCCTCATGGAAGTCTTGAAAGACTGTGTCCAGTCACTACACGGGGTGGGAGAATGAAGGTGCCAATGATGGCAATTAACTGGACATTTTTGTAGACCCAAACTAGCATCTCACCAGTGCAGATCAGGGCAGCTAAGCAGTCAGCTGCCTCCTTAGAGGGAACCTCAATTAATGTGTGCCAGTTCAGGAGGGATTAAAAGTAACACACATCCACAGAGTCAACAAGGTGCTGTTTGGTTGGATAAGGTATTCATAATAGACATTAAAATATCTCGGCCATGAATGGGGCTACACATTGTATATTGTAGTGGTTAAGGGAAAATGCATGTGATTGAGAGGATGGCACCATGTTTCCTCATTAAGAAGGGCAGTAAAATGTAAAATTGTAACAACTAAAGGAGAAATCACTCTAGGTGATGGGACTTGCAAGTCATCTCTACCAAGGAAGTGGCAGGAAAATGGAGAGGCTCAGTAATGTGAATCAAAGATGAAGCTGGGTCTGGGACCACCGGAGCCCGATCTTACACCAGTCTACATGCATTATTTTTATCAAAATTTGGGCCCCAAAACCCAGGAATATCACCTATCAGGGTAGCACGGGAGGAAGGATGCTGGCTAATGCAGGAAAAAACATTGTCCTAAGCAGTGCTCCTGCTTTTTAATGGTTGTCTTACCACATCAATTTTCAACACCGTTGCAAAGCCCCTTTTCTCCCTCTCACCCCAGCTCAGACACAAAGACCCCCTTCTTCGGGGGTAACCCATCCATAGTAGTAGTCTCATTATCCGAACTGGCACCTCCATGTGGTTTCTTCGCACATGTAGTACCTGGAGATTGACAGAAGAGGGGGCATAGGCAACCCCTCCCCCGCCGCCTCCTCAGCTTATGATAGCCAAATACACCACCACAAGGTGAAGCCCCATTGAAAGGGTGGTTGCCAGTAATATTCTGTGTATCACTTGCCTATCTGCACCAGTAGTTAAAGACTTAGCCAAACTGCTTTAATCAACTAAATTGTGTGTGGCATTTAGGTTCACATAACTAAAAAGTTAATTCTGGCTTGCAGTGAAAACTTAATTATATAGAAAGGGCAAGTGATGGCTGAAAACTACACATACAGCATAAAACAAAAAATCTGGGTGATTAGAGGAAAAATACAGGGAAAGGAAAATGGTTTATTACTCAATGCAACAACAGGAAAGCCTGGCTTTATGCCCAATAAATCCTCTTGAATCTGGGCACAGAAAAACCAACAGCCCACAGAATGAAGGCTACTCTTCTTAGTACAGTACATCAATCTATGTACAATATATATATACAGTACTGTACATGTTTCCCATTTGGATTTAGAAAACTTTTTTATATAAAATGTATAAAAGTAAATTCTACAAGAACATAATATACATAAAAATATTGGGTGATTAGAGAAAATACAAGAAAAGGGAAGAAAAATGGTTTATGTATAATAGAACAATATTGTAGCTCATTATCTGCAACATAATAGTTTCCTCTTACCAGCTTCTGGCAAAAGTTCTTCACTAAATGATGCATTAACACTCTTAATACAATACTGTAATTCTGAGTTGATACAACCCTTAATGTATTATTCTTTCAAGATGTGCTCTGGTAGTTATATTACAAAATACCTGCACATTAATAAATGCAGATTTCAAAAACCTAACAAAAATTTGTACTATAAAATAAAGGATAATTTACAGATATGAAAATTATCACATATATTGCTCCCTCTTTAATACAAAATCCATAGCACTGTCATAATTAAGCATTTGTTGTTTGAATTTGATGAGTTGCTCATAATTACTCTTGTGTACCTTGGACTTTACATTTTTAAAATAACAGTCAGACGTCATCTTTTCCAGGATATAGTGAAGCCATAATACGTTAGTGTACGGTGTAAAGGCCTCCCACTCATTCCTGCAAAGCAAAAAATAAAAATTACTAGTTAAAAATTTAATTCCTAATTGACAACTATTATTTAACACACACACACACGTCTGTTAGTCTCTTCTCATGGATTTAAAAGATAATTTAACTGAATACATTAAAAAATTATTTTATCTTATAAATTTAGCTGCCATTGAGACTTGAAACATATTTAAGAATGGCAATATGGCATGTGTATTTATACACAAAGTAGGAGACAGGTTACAATCTACACAGAAAATACATTTTAAGTACACTACTGTTTTCTGTAATAAGTCAATATTTACAGACGAGTCACAGTGTGGCTGAAGATATGGAGACTAAACCACACATCAGAAGATGAGGAGACGACGGCGTTTCGATCCATCCTGGACCATTATCAAGTCGATTTTTGTGTGTATTAAAATCTACTTTATAACGGTACAGGAAAGTGAAAGTTCCGCCAAGGACGTTTCAACGACGTAACGTCGTCTCATCTTCTGGCATGTAGTCTTCATCTCAACATTTATGTATAATTTCCCAATAGGCAAACTTGCGCAGCCTTGATCCTATAACCCAAAAATCTACTAGTAAGAAGACTTACCGACATATTATATACGTGACTATAAGTGTGGTGGTGCTTGTTTATCCATACTACTATATACATTGTATTGTGTATACTATTTGAATGGACAAGTGACCTTTATAACACACTTGTATTCTGGCCCCTCACCTGACAAAGCCACAAATGTTCCAGGTCTCTCGGGGGCTCTGCTCAAGTTCAATCTTTATAATCCTTGTACATTTTCTAAACAATATTTTGTGTTCTATCTATGAATTTGAGAAGTGTAAACATGATTGGTCTACATAGCTATATAAAGAAAAACAACTTTCATACTTCTCCATCGGGTAATTTGCACAGCAAAGTACAAATACGCACCATTAGTCATCTTTCAGTTGGCTGAGGTGATCTCTGGTTGATCCCCTCCAATAAGCTCTACTCACATTGTGGTCATTTATTTCAAGTTTTGCCATGAGTGAAATTAAAATGGTCAAGTGATTTTTTGAAAATTACGAGGTTGAGTGACACTGTCACTCAACCTTGTCACAAAATATGAAAAATTACATCTAACACTAAAAGCCAACCTACTCATGGAAGTGGAAAATAGAGAAATAACAGTATATAAAAAACTTACTTATTGGCTTTCATCATTTGCCTGTAGATTTCAAACTGGTAATCACCCTCGCCAGCAAACAGCGACGGGTCCTCGGCCAAATTGTTGAATACAACACAATGTGGCAATTTCATCCTTGACAAAGTAAAATCTATCACTGTTGCTTTTACTCCCTGTAAATAATAAGTAATAAATAATAAGTAAATAATAATAATTTTCTGTTATACTTGTTTAAAAAAAGCTAATAATAGAAGAATTATACCAATCTTGCAAAACAGATTATTAACCATTTGTGGCATGTGTCCCATGGCATGTCACACTAGAAATAACAACCCAGCAATATGTGCTCTCAGGCAATTTCACTTGTGATGGTCTGCTAATCATAGTCAGCTGATGTTGACCAGATCACACACTATAAGGTGAAGGGACGACGACGTTTTGGTCCGTCCTGAACCATTCTCAAGTCAATTGTGAGAATGGCTTGTGGCAAGCACAAGCGACTTGAGAATGGCCCTGGACGGACCAAAACGTCGTCGTCCCTTCACCTTCTAGTGTGTGGTCTGGTCAACATACTTCAGCCACATTATTGTGACTCGTCGCCTGCATAGTCAGCTGATGCCTTTACATCTGTAGTCAAGAGAGATTTAAGTGATATAAGAACCTGATGGAAAACAGTTTAAATCTGTTAAGAAATAAAGGCGACTCCCTAGCCAAAGCAGGCAGAGCAACAGTTGAGATCAACTGAGGCCCAACCTTGAGCAGGAGACTAAGAAGCAAAGCAAAAGCTCTCAATCTTTCAAGGCAGAAGTTACAGCGCACTGCAGTTGGAATATATGAATCAATAGCAGAAAGAACACACACATGACCTACTTAAGTCCCCCTACCTCAGGAGAGAAAGGCATGGAGAGCAACAGCAAAACTTCAAGCCAAGCACACTTACAGGTTAGACCCAGAGAAGCCAGGATCCTAATTCCAAAAGAACAGGAACCTGGACATTGAACTACTAGGCTGCCTTCCTAGTCAGAACGAGGCCACCAAGTTCAATTTAGAAAATACGTGTCTTTCCTACTCCTACCACATGAAAGACACAGAACCCCTATATCTACTCAAAAACCAGTCAGCTCCCATTACCCAAAAGAAAATGCAGTTAGAGAACTAACACAAGCAAAAGTGGATTTATTCTAGACAAGCGAGTCTTGTCCTTTATAAGTAACAAGAAAAAAGCCCACCAATACTGAGCACCAGGAAGGTGACAGATGAAACTGAAAAAGCAGTGGAATACTGTCATCCACCACAGGAGCAGAAAAATAGCATCAGAGTCTGCACATGGCAAACTGGCCACTCTTGAGGATAGAGAACTAATTTTGAAGAACACAACAGATGTAAAACTAAGACAAATTATAGGCAGGATAACAAGAACCATTCAAATAAGCTGTGCCAAATCAATGATGGTGCTCTTAGACACTAGAACTGCCCAGTGGAAATTGTTGCACATTAATGGCACCATTCAAAGCTTCAGAAAGTGCTGACATGGAGAATGTGCAGAGAACTTTCAATGAAACATCAAGTTATTAGACGTGAATACTGAACCTGGATGAGCTTTCGTTGTTCTACTTCCCAAGCCCGACATGGAGTCAGGGTTGACTTGTGATAAAATGTGAGAAATCATAATTTATACCCAACAAATATTCGAGGGATCAATTCTAAAAAATCTATACTTTAATAATATTTTGCAAGACCAGGAGGTATGGCAAAATGTGTTCAATAGTTCTAATGAAAAGGAAACAGCAAGTACAAGAAAATTCTGTAAACATTTGCAGCTAAAAGCACTTCAAGACTGTACAGGTGTTCAACAGCCCAACTGATCAAACCAGATTCTGGTCTCTTGACCAGAAGCCCTTGGTCAAGAGACTGGGCTGTGGGGACACTGATTTTCTACACCACCTCAAAATAAGCTAGACTCGGTAAACAAGTGAAATGAGATTTAACAAGAAGTGGTTGAAGATACCACCTTTCAGAGCTTCTAGAGGAAGTACAGTACTGTATAACAAAGTACAGTATTGGAATGTTTTGGAGATTATGTAGTAAGCTAGACTTTAGATAACTTACATTAGTCTGAAGAGTGTAGCATTCCCCATTCAGCTTGAAATTAATTGAGGTCTCTTGAGTTTGAGCAACTAAAACGTTGCCCCAGTGAAGATCTCGGTGCTCAAATTCCAATTCTTGTTCAGCTACAGCCAAGCTATATGCAATCTAAAAAGACAGAAAAACACAGTATTGCATTATTTTCAAAGCAAGAGTTAAAAGTGGTTTCAAATATACTGTAAAAGGAATGCAATGAAATCACAATGGCACGATATATCAATGAAAATCATTTTGAGGCAATGGAGTGACATTGCGATTTGGTCATTCCCAGACGCCTACCTTAACCAACTCGGCCACAATCGCACAAAGGAAATATTGTATTACTGTACATGTACTATATTATATAGTAAATATTATAGTAATAAATGATCCTTCTATTACTACCCATTACGTATTGCGGACACATGCCAGTGCATTCACTCATCCCCATTTTTATCAATATTTAGCGCTAACAATTGCATTTGCATCGCGCATACCTGGGCACAGATAAAAGCCTACTTTTAAATAAAAAAAATCTTAATGTGGTCGGGGCCAAGAATTGCCAGTTAACTGGATATTTTTAATACGAGGTGTCAACCTGTGAAAAAATCAAACAAAATTAATAATAGTACTCACTCTGTTTATGATATACTCTCAACAAGTTGGTGGAGTGGCTATGAGTTGGAAGGTGCTGCTGCTTGGCGGCTAAATATGTCCGACAAGATGCTGCAGTATCGTTTGATAAACCTGAGGCAGATAGTTCATTTGCCGAGCCTGACGCAACTGCTTTAATGCCAAACCTCTTGGCAACCCTCTTCCAACAATCCTTATACAAGGCTTGTAACATGCCCTCTTGTTTAATTTTCAGAGTGAATAAAAGTACATTTAACATGCTTGCCCTTACAAGCACATGAAACACACTCCTCTTCATAGAAGTTAATTTCTCAAAGTAGCTCTTTAGCTCAAACATGGAATCCATAAACTATTGAATTTGCACAAGTACTGTATCTTCCTCAGCCTCAGTCGACTGTCACCACATCTTGTGGAAGAAGCCGTCAATGTTGCTATTCAAGGAAAGGTGTCAAGTCAATCATCCAGTATACAACATTCATTTCTGGCAACCACACAATATGAAGATATTTGGTTTTTTTCAAGAGTCCTGGTAGTACAGACTGGTTCGATTTTGACGCACAATCGAGAATTCTGGGTACAAATCCCAAGCGGGACAGAAATGCTTGGGCACATTTCCTTTCACCTAATGCACCAGTTCACCAGCAGAAAGTAAGTGCTCAGGAACGAGTCAGCTTGTTGTGAGGTTGCATCCTGGGTGGGGTCAGTAATCAAACCTCAATAAAAGCCTAACGTGTATGAATATATTCTGGCTTCCTGTCCCGGACACAATTATTATATTTATTATAAAAAAAAATTAATAGTTGTATCACTTATTTGTTGCCAAGTCTTCAAAATCACCATCTACCGCAATGGCAAACTGAGGAAACATGCAAGATTTTGGCCATGCATTCTTCACGGATGAACTTTTGACAATTCCCCAAACTCTTATCTATGACCCATATGGCTGATTTGATAGATGAACTTCTATAAAACTTTTCACATTACCACCATCTTCACAAAGGCCATGTTTCTTTTGTTTCAAGCTATTAATTATGAATCAAAGACATTTTTAAAGTTAATAGCTGTTATACCAATTGTTAATCAATGAACTTTAAAATGTATTTGTGAGTTACCTACAAATAAGACAGTGCACCTTATAAACACACAATGGATTGGTCCCCATTGTTCCCTTGTTACAACTAGTTTGAATAGTGTAGCAATGTCGTAGTTTCATCATGTGATTGGCGGGTGTTGTCTTGTTGAAGCCTAATCTTTCAAGTGAGTTTGCATCTTGAGCAAACTCACATCAAACCACCCCTGGTGAAAGATATCTCTACTCCTTCATGCATATTTCTCAGTCTTGTATCACCTGGCCCATTTCAATACCCTTTGTATTTGACACTTATTTAATATTAGCCATGTGAATTTATACCCACTCACAGCATTAATGCAGCTAATTTTTCTCTACTCTGTTTGTGGCCAGAAGAAGCAAGAGGCTTTAACAAAATTAGCTTGGCTTTACCTAATAAAATTTCCTGGCAACAAGCTTTGTGCAATACAGCAACATATAACTCTCAGTACATACACACACACTAAATCCTCACATACATGGACATGTCAAATTGAGCTAGCAAATTCATTTATGCCTGCTAATGCTTTGTTCCCTTGGATGACATCTTTAATGACAATTCTTAGTTTACAAAACAGCCAAACATAATACTGCTTGAAAATTGCAAAATTTGTAGAGAAATAAGGGAAACACAAATTACACTAGCCAAAATATGGTAAAAGCAAAAACAAAATATAGATTCCACAAGAAAGCTTCATAGTAAAATAAATCAAAATTAATGTTCCCTGTACATAGCTGTTAAACCATACAATATATATCCATGCCTGACAAGACAATTCAAGAGTGTTAAACGTCATAACCAAAACATAATTTATCACGTGGAAAACTACAACTGCCACATTGTATACTCGTCAGTTGGACTGGGTAACCAGACTTGAATGAGTAAGCAATCTAGTCACAACAGAAAAGAAATGTGCACTAGACTATTACCCACCCAACCCCGACACCCTCTTTCTCCCTTGGCAAAATAAATGTAGCAGTTGATTCACTGTTGCAATAGAAAATAATACAATCAAGTGATATAAAAGACCAACAGTATTAAATACAAGTACTTCCTTAAGTTTTTGTAATCTTTATTGTGTTACAACTTCCACATATCTTCTTGTCCAAATAAAAAACCTAAAGCACAACAATTTCCTGGAACCAAACAAAGTAATTTCTAAAATTCTATATAAAAATGAGCCTTATCAACCCTTGTCAAGTCAAGTAGAGTTCTGGTATTGTTTAGGAGTGCAAGTATGGAATCAACTTTGTTTAAGTGAATTTGAACAAATCCACAAGGACAGGGGGGGGGGGGGGGAATTTGTGAATGGGGGAATTGTATGAAACCCCAATTGGGCTTCAGAGAAGCTTCGGGATTCTAGTGGGTGCAGTAGCACTAGGTTGCAATTCTTTTACCATGTCGTGGCACAGTTGACTAAGGCGCATCCCGTGTGTAGGTTTGAACCCTCATCACGGCCCTTGTGGAATTATTCATTTGATATATCACATTATTGTGATTTGTGATTGTAAAGTGAATACGATTTCATCACATATGAAAATGAATTCATAAACTGTATGAAGAATAAGAAAAGGGATGCATAACTGCTTTTACATCTTCTGTTGGTAATTAACCTTAATAAATAACTATGAATAATAATTCAATGATTCATATACATCTTAAAGAGAACAGAGAGAATTGTTTGGAATTAATGCAATAAAAAAATGCATAATTTAAAAAGCATGTGATATTAGGTGAATAGATGAAGATCTTTTTTTTAAATGAACTTGCTCAGCAGATGTGGAGTACGATTGTCTATGTGTGGAAAATTTGAGGAAAGTGCATTGAAATGGTTAGCGATTGTTATACAAAAGGATAATAGAAGACCAGTGAAGAGAATGTTTGAGAAAATTTTAAGGTTGGAGTGGAAATGTTGGACTGTAGAAGGATTCAAGTGTGAAGAAGCTGGGAGTCATTGTTCATGGGACAGGGTAAGGAACAAAGCTAGGTGGATGCAGTTTGTAAAGGAGTGTATTTGTCATACACCCCTACTGTATATGACAATTTACGAAATACACTAGATCTCGTCTCACGATGCTGCCTTGACAACTACTGTACTAGTGTGTGTGCTTTTTTATCCGTTATGCATGATATAATGAAAGGGCGACATTTTGGTTTTAATACATATAACCTTCATGCACTATGCTTTTCACAAATATAGAGGACAGAATACATGCTACAGAAATTCAAACATTCCATTCCGTGTCCTAAGCAACATATTTTAAACCAAAATTAAATTATTAAACAAATCAAATAAGCAAAATACATGTATAGTAAAAATATATGTGAAATACAAATCTACAATAGACTGCACAAAAGATTACCTGGAGAAAGATTGCCAAAGCATCTCGGGCATTGTTGAAAACAAAACTTTCCAAGTCGCCACCACCGTGTCCAAACTCCAGCACGATGTATAACTGATCCTCAAGAAATATATCGGGACGATCATTATCAGACTCTGGGGACAAATAATGTCAATGTACTTGCATGAATGCACTTCATTACATAATGAAATTACAGCCTATGGTGAAACTCATTTAAAATTTGAAATCCTGATTAATACAATATTGTACATGGTAAAGTTGCCTGCACTGAGCCATCTGTGTCTTATAAAACCTAGAGCACCTTCAACATTGGATAAAACAAAGACATCCAGACACATTGCCCTTGTTAAACAAAAAATGATGCAAAAAAATTCATGCGCCATGGAAACCTAAGCAGTAGTGATCAGCCATCAAAAATTAGTGGATAACAATATCTCCAAATTAATTGAAAACATCACAGCATGCTGCCACACAATGCCAGTTTGGATTTCAGAACCAATCTTAATGCTCTGTGGTTTCAATGATACAAACCAACAAGCATTTGCTTTGCCAATGTTGGTCAGGGACACTAGTTTGATTCCATTGTACAGCCTCAATATATATTTTTACCATCTCTAAGTACCATACCTACAACCAGGAATTTTTTTTAATTTTATAGATCAACTGACCATTAATGAGGCAACAGAGCATTGTACCTCAGTGCTGGAACTTGCATAACAGGAAGCAATATAGAGACTAAAGAACAGGCACATGTAGGTTCCTTGTTTGCAGCCCAGAATTAATATATTCAATGTCAATACACACAGAAATTACAATAGCGTGATGCATCAAATGAACAAATCCACAAGGGCCGTGATGAGGGTTCGAACCTACGTCCGAGAAGATTCCTGATGTAACTAATTGATTGTGCTGAGAATGTTGTAGCTTGCTGCACTACCAGCAAAAACCAGCATACCAGCCAAAATACCAGCAACAATGGCCTTCAACCCCCCCCCCCCATTGGTTTGTTAAAACTGGATTCCCCCCAAGCATACAAGACCACACCCTGAAGGACCTAGCAAGGAAGAAGGTACTAAAGTGATCCAAGCTACCCCCCCCCCCCCCAACTTGCAAGGAATAAATTGAGGAATAAAGCCAAAATGATGTCGAATCCAGGGAAATGTATGCACTTAAACTGTAATGTACATGCCCACAAACATGACTGCGCTGCCTAAGTAGTCATGCAGGAAGGGGGCTCAGGCAAAAGGCAAGTCCACCCGACAGTGGTCACACACAAATGGTTGAAATTTATCCCACATCAAACACAACCCAACAAAAATGCTCAAGGCAGAATCAGGCTCAATACCAGCAGGAAATACCATGGGCCCCAACCAGGAGAGATGTACAGGAAAAAACTTGAAGTATGGGAGGTAGAGCAATAAATGCAAATATCAATCATAATGAGGCAGCCTAGATGAGTACTAATAAGGATAGCTATGGATTAAATGAATAAATACTTAAGGAGCTTGTACACCTTCAAGCAAAAGCAACCACATAATTATGCCTATACAGTTTAATCTAGAATTTAATATTTACCTTTCTTCTCATGAAATTCATCCCAGAGACAAAGCAAGTCCTGATGATAACTGCCCTGGACACACCAGCACTTTAAGACATGAACGAAGTTCTCACACCAGTTCTTTTCATTGTCGGCTTCCCGTAGGTTGCTTAGTTCTCTATGGGGTATAATACATTGTGTCATTAAAGCGAGTTAGGGAAACGTTTAAAAAATAAGTGCAATACGAAGCATTTCAAGGCAAGTAAATCTTTGGAGAGTCCAAGCTTCAAACAGAATGGGGTTGTTAAAGTGGTCATGCACAGTCAGACAATGAATGCTGCTGTTCAATCCTGACAGGTCAGGAATACGGAGATCAATTAGAGTTAATCAGTAATAGAAGGCACTGTAGCAGGAAGTTGTGAAGAAACAATTATGTACAAGAAAGAAAAAAGGTAATAAGAAAAGCCCTGAACAAATATATAATCCTTGAAGACTATGTGGATGAGAAAATGCCAATGTTGAATGTAGTGAAACTCCTATTTGGTTGGGCCTCGGCTCCCTGACATTAGCAGCACCAAAGCACATTCTATTACCCATCACGGCTGTACATGTTATGTACTGTATTAATTTACAATACAATAAAAAAAGTATCTTTTTTTTAAATAAAATTAAAATATAATAGCAGTTCAATTAAAAAAATCTTTTTGGGTTTATACTTTATAAATTATAACTATAATTTATAAAAATTTAAATTACTACCTGAAACGAAAAATAAATTATTAAATGTTAAATAATCATTTTATGAATTTGAAATCAGGATAAATATTTATTTTATTCTATCAATTCTCACTACTGAAAATGCCCGATTTTTTTTGCAAATTTGGACTAATTGTCACATACTTATATAATAGGGATTTTTTTTTTAGTAAAAGACACAGATTAATAGTGTAAAAGTGAATATACAAAATGTAATTTAATGTTGTTGAAGTTTCTATGAGTCTCTTGAGGATATGTGCACAAGCTATGCAACAGTAGCTTGCAATAACCAATGATGGAAAATAAGCATTCAGATTGTGTGTGTTAATTTCAGAAAGGAAAATCACTACACTACCAGTAAGCAAAGAGTTAAGAAGCATTACACAAACTGGTAAAGGCAAGTTTGGATTTGAATACTTTGCAATAAAAATATTAAGCCTATTAAAAACAATGTCTGCACTAGGTAAAATAAAAATCATTGTGTAAAATTTTAGTTAGTTTAACACGTTATAATAGGTTGATTGCCTTTTAAATGATGGGTCATGTCAATAACCATTTTTCATTATACAAATTTATGTGAATTGGATTCTGCTTATAAATTCAATGTGTCATTTCTCTGGCAATTATTACAAATAAAATTACATTAATTATTTTACATACAAATGTATTATTGGAGTTTAGAAGCATGTGGTAGCATCATGCACAAAAGTATTTAGTAAAAATAATTAAGCTTAAGAATAATTATTGTAATTATCTTCACACCCATATTTATTAATATTTTCCCTTAAATTTTACAAGAAAAATGTTTAAAATAAGGGCTATCTTCCTAAATTTGAGAAGTCTATATCAATATCAGAATTCAATTAATTTGAAATTTTGTTTATCCAATTAAATGATACTTTTATTAAATATTTTTCCAGATATTCCACAATTTTAACTTACTTTGATAGAAGCTAAATTTGTTATTTTAATTGTGCACTTTAAGGGTAAATAATATGAACTGGTCACCAAATGCAGGTCATCCTACCGAGTGACAGTATTCAAATCAGAAAGCAAATAGTAAATGTATATTTAATTATTAATGCCAAGTGGTCGCACAAAGCACTATCATTAAGCTTAGTTTGTCCTAGGTATGTAAAAAATATAATTTATCAGCCAACTAAGTCTAACCTAGGATACTGGATAACCTATGCAATACTGTGCCTGTATTTAATTGCAAACAATATCTAATTCTCTGAAGACTGTTCTTAAAATTAAGGATTACGTATATTGTTTTAGCACGCATTTGCAAGAAAAAACAGCCGATAACAAAAATGGCTAAAATCATTGTCAGTAATACTGGTAGTTATGTTAAAACATTATTTTTAATCATTAAACACCAACTTCCAAAAGTTGCTTTACTCACAATGAAATAACAATCTCAGACAGAATTTCATGAAATTTCTTCTGTGGTTCTCCATTTACATCTATGTTCCCTTCTATGGGCATAATCTTCATAACTGTTGCTCCTTCCAAGGAAGTGGGATTGGGTTGCGTCATAAACACTTCACCATACACGCCTTCCCCAATTTTCTTGCAGCAAGCTAGACGGCTGTGGAATTAAAAATGAATTTCTGTTAAACACAATTTTTCTTTTATCAATAATATTGTGGTCATTATAAAGTCTATGTACATTAATGTAGCTGTGCAACAGATTTGTGTAATGCTACCTTTGTTAATAAATTTACTGCATATTATACTTTATAGGGCAATGTTGCTAGGTCTCAACCCATTATCATCAACTCATTACCTGTGGAAAATATTTCATCGACTACAATGAAATGCCTCCAATTTGAGTAGTACTTCAGTAGCTTCCCTAGCCACAGGCACTGATCCTAACCACACTGATAAAAAGCTATGCATGAGCGACTTGTAACCCAAGACGGACTAGAAACATTACAAATTGTCTTGTCCCCTTATTAATTAATGGGGCAGGAGGCTCAAAGAGGAGAATAGGTTCAAATCCCATCTAAGCAATGGGAAATAAAATCATTGGACATTAAATTAGTGATGCATACCCCAGGAAAAAATCATGAGGCTTATTTGGACAGATGCCCATGCCCACAGGGTAAACAAATTATAAATAAATACAGTACTGCACTGCCATTTTACTATTATAGTCTTCAGCAAGCTGAATAATGCATTACCAACAATTGTGCTTGTTAATTCAGAATTATATATGTGAATAACAAAGAATGAACCAGGGATACTCATTTTTTAATATCTGACTTTCTTTATAGATGTGTATGCATGAATATTGCTAAATCAATAACAAAAATGTTATCAGATAATATCAACCATTCAATTCACAGACTTACCTAGCTGTAAAGCAATCAGTGAGGGGTAGAGGCTCCTCTTGATCACACAGCACCAACACATGATCTCGAGGATTTATAGATATCAAATTAGCCTCAGTACTATCATTCTCAGTGATTAAAGAAATCTGAAGCTTTGTTTTTGATCGATTGTGAATTTCCCTTGGGTTAGCGCCCATCTGGTTTATTCTGTGACCTTAAAAATAATAAAACAATAAGTTAAAAATATTTGTAATGAAAAATCTATATGCTAACCCTATATACCTGCTGTATATCCAAGACGAGTCTTACTTATACTGTGAGAACCTTCAGCACGAGAGGTTTGCCCAGGTTAATAGCATGAATGTAATCATATCAGTTTTGTATTTCCCCATTGTGTGGGGAAATAAGTTATTGATTCCATGAATACTATTCTTTAGCATTAAATAGAAGACATAGCTAGTATAAAATAAAAATCCCCAAAAAATAAAAACTTACAATAACAATACCCCATGAAAACTTCCCAAAAAGTCATTTCATATATTAAAATTATTCTTAATGGAAAAACTGTCATCTTATATTGGTTACCATGTACGCAGTCTCGAACCAATTTGTTTACTCACCTATATGTTCTTAAAGGTTAAGCTTCAGCTCTATGGTCCCACTTTTCCTACCTCCTATTAAAACCATTCATAAAGTTTTACTCAACCACCTCCCCAATTAACTCATTTTAAATGCTCACTATTAAGACACACACAGAGGAAATGCTTCAACCCTATGATTCATCCAAGTTTCTAGCTATTACCCATATCCTCTGGTGCTACCGGAGTTCATACCAAACATTTTGGTTCTGCCAGCTTTATAAAAAGAGATATTAAAAACTTTATAATGTAGCCTCTTTTTCCCAGCATGGGTAAGTTACTTCTAGACTCTTTTAGTAGCTCTGTTCTATTGGTTCAGGGATCAGTCTTATAGCAATCCTTTGGACATTCAAAAGTTTGGCTAATTTTTTTTTTCAAGTGGGAATTCCACACGGAATACATATTGTAAGACTGGTATGGCACAGGTAGTGCCTATGTTAGGCCAGCCTTCCTTTGTTGCTGCTGCTCCTCCCTAAACAATCATAAACACTTCACCAGACTAACATCCATATTTTCAACGCTCTCCACAAACAGGTGATCGACTTTTGCACTCAACATTTAAAATACTAATCTCTCTATTCTCCCAATAATGTACGTGCTTCTCAGATTGTCCATATCTGTAGTTTCAAGTCTTGAATTTTGACATTAATACAATACCATCGTCTCACATTCAAACAAATATCATTAGCACTTTCTTTTCTAAAGAGCTTCCCATTTTCTAGATACCATAGTGACTTATCTATTTCCTGAAAGTCAATTATCCCTTAAATCGAGTACAAAATCTTTCACAGCATTCAGGCAACATGCTAGAAAATACAAAATTAACATGTCTTATATTGCAAATACTGGACTTTGTCTGATGAGTAATGTAACCCTTAGTCGACAACTTGCATCATGCTGTACGACATTTTGTGTCGCCTAAAAAAATACCATGTGCAGTCAACAGGTCCCTTTCAACAACCCTAGATAAATTAACCTTTGCAATGTGCAAAGTTTGCATCAGGTATTATCTGTATGTGCACAGGAAAACAGCATTGAAAACAAGGCATTTGTTTTCCTAAATTGTTAAAAACAATGCCCTGAGCATAAGAAAATTGCCCCAAAAAATCTTGTCACTTTTCAAGATGGTAGATGTTTACTTGACCTTTAAAATAACAAAGGCAACAGTTAACGATGGCAATGATGTTCAAAAGTTGCAAAGAACAGTACCTAAATCATCTTAGGATATTATACATACCATGGCTCAAACGTTGTAAGAAGGAATGTACATTTTAAGAGTTAAGACCATCAGCATGTTCCACTTCTTCTGGTGCTATACAGTACAAGCGTCGATAGTAAAGTGAAATAAAAAATGTTTGTCTACTAATGTCTAATAACATTTCAATACAGTACTCACTTATCTCTGATGGGTTGGATGACATACGCAGGACTGAGGATCTTCTTAGTCTATTCGACATGCAGTGCACCGTTTGTCGTCGGATATCTGAATAAAATAATTTGTATTATTTGTAATTTGCTGTATGGGGCCATCAAAATTATATCACCTCTCTTAAATGAAATGACAATACTATGCTTAAATATGTAAAACTATTAATTCCATTCACATCAATAAGTATCAAAGATTAACAATGTTCATATTTCATGAAGAATCATGCATCTCACTTTAGTTATCAATAAACAAATACAATACAATTAATGAGTAACAAATCAGTTTGAGAAAATGAATGATAAAACTTGTGAAGCAAGAGTAATAAGAGAAAACTGAATGACAATGGAGGCCAAAAAAAGACAGGCAGACCTGGTGTGTTATGATGAGGGAAACAAGTGTGAACAGCACATGATAACCGAGACCAAAGCTAGATATCTTGAGGTTATTTTGAGATGATTTCGGGGCTTTTTAGTGTCCCCGCGGCCCGGTCCTCGACCAGGCCTCCACCCCCAGGAAGCAGCCCGTGACAGCTGACTAACACCCAGGTACCTATTTTACTGCTAGGTAACAGGGGCATAGGGTGAAAGAAACTCTGCCCATTGTTTCTCGCTGGCGCCTGGGATCGAACCCAGGCCCACAGGATCACAAGTCCCGCGTGCTGTCCGCTCGGCCAACCGGCTCCTTATGGCCATTGTTTATGGAGAGAAAGAATGCGTTATGTTTTACCCTATACAGCATTTGACAATTTGCCACAGGCCTTCTACGCTAGTCTTATGAAGTTGCACGGTGTTGCTGTAAAAGATTTGCAGGAGTGTCAAAATACTGGCGCACACTGATGCCATAAAATGAATAAGTTAATGAATGGGTGTCATTATTAAATATTTTTAACTGTTTACCTATGCAGTACTGCTCCCCTATTTCTCCATGTCAATGTTTCCTCAACACGCACACTTTGCCACAACTAACGCTGCTACAGTCATTAATACTCTAGCCAATTTCAATTAATGAACAACAGACTTAATAACTCACCGTCACTCTGCCCAACTGCATTATGTGAAGCCTGAAAAAAGGGATAATTAAATTAAACATTTTTGCGCTGACAAAGAGAAAAACTTCTCATTTAAACATAACTTGCATACTGGAATCACCAAAGTTAAGAAATGTGGACAAAGTTATACCGATTTAAAGTATTCCAGGGTTGAGTGAGAATTATACTTTGGCACAGTTGTATCATTTTATATGCTATTGTTCTAAATTCTGCTTTCATCTACTGTCTTTGACTGCATTTCCAAGCAAGCTACCTAGCTAGTGCACTTCATTAGTCGCTGCATACACCATGATTTTTTTGTTGTCACAATAACCATTAGCCTCCATTTATTACTAAAATCAATAGCAAATACCCTTTCATTCTATACAGTGAAACTAAATTCTTAAAACATTCTTAACAATTTTTTTCAACATTTTATCACTGTGCTTATTAATTTGATCCTTAACTTCTACCAACCTCTTTTCTAGAGATGACTGACTATCCTCACAGGCACCTCTACTTACTTCCCAAACACTATACCATTTTACTCTCAACGTGTGTTCTACTTCCAACATAGACCTTATACATATACATTATCTTCATAAATATATTAACTACAGCCCTCAAATTCTATAAACAAAAATCAGCAAAAATTCTTAAGAAAAAGGCACTTCAAATCTTATATACAAAACATCCATGTATAAATGGGTGTATGTATACATTAGCACAGTATAAAGAATGTATACACAAGCATATCTTAACTAACCTCTGGAACAACTATGCTAGAAAAGGGTCTTCGCCATCCTTTTCCCGGCTTCATAGGTATTGTGCAGATGGGCAACAATACACAGTCCTCAAGTTCATTGGTAGAACTCAAAAATGGAGGCAAATGCATGAAATCTCTGGACTCTGCCTTTGCCTTACCAGAATTTCTAGTAGATTCTCTACTAACCTCGAAACCTTGAGATGCTGCCCGTTTGCATCCCAGAAGTGCGATACCCTCTTTTATTTCAGTTAGATTTTCAGGCCTCTCCAGGTCTTCCTTGACTGAAGAAGCTTCTTGACATTCAGATGACATTAATGCACAAGATTCTGGCAACAGAAGGTCACTGGTAATACTGACATCCCCATCTTTTGTTAAAGCTTCATTACCACTGAACAAAACATTTTCTGTATCCACTTTGGTTGAATTACATTCCTCATAGGAGTTTGAAGAACATTCCTCATAGGAGTTTGAACTACAGGAATCTTTACTATACCTTCCCTTACGATATACAAATTGGTCTGCCATACTTTTTCTTCGTTTTTTGAAGTTGTCAATAAGAGAGCTCTTCAATAAACTACCATATGATGAAGTGCTGATTCTAGAGCAATTAAATCCTACCTTTCTACTGTTGGCAGACAATTTGCTTATGTTAAATACTCTCTCTACTTTCTTTCCTTTGTTTACATTTCTACGTGTAGTAACATACCCCTTACAAGACATTCTTTGTGACACTGTCAATTGTGGAAGATACTGTGAATCTTCCTCACCAGTTGTAACATTAACAGAGATGGTACTTTCTCTTTTTGACAAATGCCGAGAAACTCGCTTTCTAGTGAAAATAATGGAAAGCTCAGCTGCAGATAAATTAGCATTTGCACTACATTCCAATCCTGGTTTCACTGTGAGAAATGATGAATGCTCATTGTCAGACAATCTTAACGAGTAATTACTAGATTCCGCATTTTGTGCGGAATTATTCAAACGTCTGTATATTCTCTTTGAAATTCTTCTTTTAGGTAATGCAGGTGATGGTACTACAAATAGTTGCTTCTCTCTACCAAGTGTAGCTCTAGATCTTCGTCTTAGAATTATGGACTGGTCATCATCAGTCGATCCTCGAGTCTGGCATACCGATTCCAAAGTTTTTTTCTTGGAATGACGATACGATATCGGAGAAAATTCAAAGTTCGACTTTAGTGCAACTGCTGAAGATTTCCTTGTTTTTCCTGGCAGGATATAGTTTAGGTTAATTGTATCCCTATCTCTCTTTGTTACAAGGATTACAGAGTTTTCTGCTGCAGAGAAATCTGTACGTGAATTTAATCTTTTGACAAGCCTTTTATTCTCACGTTTTCTTTTCTTTAATGTAACTAGTTTAACAGACTCTTCTATATTAATCTCTCTCATTTTTTCAACTGCAATTGCTTTTGACAGGTCTGCAACATGAACTTCTTGGCAGACTTTGACAGAGGATGATTCTGTTTTCAAGCCCCTCAAATTAAATGCAGGAATTAACACACTCTTGAATGGCTCCCTTGATATTTGATTGGAACTATTGTAACAACTTCCTTGTGGCTTATTATTTTGTGTCTCACAACTAATGTTATCACTAACTCCACATGTATTAGACGATTTGCAAGTTTCATATTTGCTCACTGAAGAGGAACTGTGATCACTGTCATTTTCTGCAAGAACCAATGGGCTGTCAAATACTGAAGATTCCAAAGTAAAGTTTCCGCTCTCCTTGGGTACTGGCGAGAGTACATTTTCATCTGAAGATGTGGGAAAGCTCAAAACTGTTTTATGCCTACTAGAATCTGCAGGAGTACTTGTGCACATATCACTTTTAACACTAGATTTTCCAGAATGTTGTGACCCATGGGACTTCTCGGATATTCTGCACGTTTGTTTCTGGTACAATGAATGCTGACAACCTATTGTTAAACTGTCGCTATGGTTTGAAAAACTCTGTGAAGAGGGGTTTCTTAATTTATTTTCTATAGATGACACATTTACAGAATCAAGATATTTTTTAACTACTGCCTCCGAAAGTCGTGTTACGTAAATCTTGGGTACCTTTCTCTCAAAGATTTCACAAGAATTTAATTTCTTTGTTTCATTAACTATACTAAAATCAGGCATAATGTTTTCTTTCACTGCATCTTTATATCTTAAAGAGGGAGAAGTAACTATAGCCATTACATCTTTCTTTTTCTTATGCCTTCCTTTTTTAGCATGAAGATTTTGTCTGCCTTGCATTTCACTGGTGGCCTGCTTTTTATTATGCCTGCGCTCCCTGCAGACTGGTTGCCCTGCTGCCTTCTCATCATCAGTAATAGCCAACAATTCATCCTCTGATGAAAACAGCTGGAAAGATTCTGTTAACTTTGTGTCTGTCGAGGGCATTGGTAACTTTTTCGGGGCAAGTTGATTAGTATTATCACCACTTTGTACATGTTCATCATTAGCTACATCAGAGTAATCATACGAGGAGAAAAGTGACGGAGACTGTATTAATTTTTTCTTTGCACAGGAGACAGCACATTCTTTTTCGAAGGAGAGATGACCACTATCTAGCTGAAGAGCTGCACTGCCAAAATTTACATCAGTTTCAGTGTCTTTAACTTCTTTAACTTCACGTAAAGATTGTAATTTTGCACCCCGTGGCTTTTTTGGGTTCCGAGCAGGGACATTGGCATGAAGGGATTTATACAAGATACCACTAAAATCAAGGGAACTTCCTGATGTTGATGGGCTGTTGATGACCCGAGATGTTTGAGGAACTCTGAAAATAATAAATTCAGAGTTGTAAAATAAAAAGCTAAAAATTCAAATAAAAAATTTTCCTTTACGTGTATCAAACACGTACGTGATGCTCAAGTCACATTCATTATATCTTAGTTTACCTTGATTATACATCATTATATCCACATTCATAAAAGTCACATTTCGTGAGAAAACATTTTTTGGTTTGACACCCCCACCAGAAAATTTCTTCAACCTAAGAACCCAGGATACAGCTCAATAATTCAGAGGCATTGCTGCAGACTTAACAGTTACTCATTAGGTTAACTAATCTATAACAACATATCACAAAATATGAAGTTCCAGGAAATCTGGATAGACTGAACTAATATTAAGAAAGTTGACAAACCTTGGTTATTAAACTACAGTACATGGCTTTGCTCCACCAGCTTATTTATTGTTTTCCATTGAAACTTAGTGCTGAAGTTTTATAGCCAAAATGGTATCTTATCATTGTGGCTAGACATCCAGGGAACCAGGTTGCATTGACCAGACCACACACTGAAAGGTGAAGGGACGACGACGTTTCGGTCCGTCCTGGACCATTCTCAAGTCGAATCGACTTGAGAATGGTCCAGGACAGACTGAAACGTCGTCCTCCCTTCACCTTCTAGTGTGTGGTCTGGTCAATATACTTTAGCCACATTATTGTGACTCATCGCCTGCAACCAGGTTGCATTTAAGCTAGACTCCAATACAGTACACCGCTTTGACACCATTAATTAAAAATGAGTACAAAATAAATTAACTGAAATAGCATAGTGGAGAAATTACTGTTACATAAAACTAATATTTATAACGGTAGATGTATTAATTAGGAAATGAAACAAATGTATGCAGAGTTAAAATGACAATGTACACGTACCTCTCATCCCCAACAAGCTTGTCAAATGTATCATTCGCAGAAATGCGACTCACACTCAAGGTAGAATTACCCAGGAAACTGTTGAATGCAGGAGGCTTTCTACGGCAGTTGGAGCCGATCTTCAGCCGAGTATCTCCAGAGATATCCACAGACTGAAACAGTTAAAAGGAAAGTTCTCAATCAAATTAAATGTTACTCTACAGTATTGTACACTATAATACATGCACATTGATTATTAACAAGCACACAAGTTTAATGAATCCCCATATACAAAACTTTCAAATGCCAATAGTTCAGGAACAGCCTCCATGATAAACAAATGCAGTACTGTACACCTAAATGTAGATCACACATTCAAATGTTTAAGAGGGCATAATAAAGCACTCATAGATGAGAAACATTAACAGACTGCATTGTAACAACCCCAGCACTGAGTATGAAAGTGATATCACTAAGAACTCTAAATGACCCGACCAAGATTCGGACCCATGACGTCCAGGACCATCCCCCACAGTACACAGTGCTTGGGTTAGTTAGAGTTCTTGGTGATCTATGGCTTGCACGTTCCTGCAGCTTTTGTCACATGAAAGCGATATTTATAAAGTAACAAGTCTTGATAAAGAAAATACTGTATTTTTTTAACAATGAGAATGTTCAGGGAAAACCACTATCTTCTTGACTTCACCAAGGTGTTTACAAACAGGAAGTGCCCCTCTACACTGGCCTGAGTGGAAAAGCTCTTAAGCAATATAGACTGTTTATGGTACCTGTCAAGGTCAAGTATAAAATGATGATATATGGTCTGTAGGAAGGGGTGTCAAGGCATCTACCTACTGTCTGAATGACTCATACTGTACGTGAAAGTGGACACATGTAGTCAGCACTTATTGAATTCTCTGGCAACTTCAACACAATAAAGATGAAATATTAATTGCCAATTATGCTCAATGGTTGCATTCAGATGTATATATATAATTCTGTTTTGGAAATAACAGCAGGCTGATATTAGTTAATTGAATTAACTATTAGAAAATAATCAAAACTTTTATTTGTTCAATGTGAAAAACTCATTTTAATGCCACTACTCAAGAGCGTAGGTCATTGTGATTTTTTTTTTTAATATAACCCAACATAGGCCGAAGAAAATTATGGATCCAAAATCAAATGGGCAGCCAAAAGCTAAATATAAAAAAAATTAAGGTAATAAATAATTTTGGGAGCTTGCAACATGTGTGCCATGCAAATCTATTTTGACCACTTGAAATTTTGGCCTTACTGGGAGACAAGCAGCAATCCAAGAATAAGACTAATGTATTACATTACTGTATAATCTTATGTATAATCATTCATTACTTCCTTAAGAGATTATATTACAGAACATGTTAATTTTTCCTTACCTTCACTCCTTTAATAAGGGTATCAATAAAGTCTTCTGAAGAGTCAAGTCTAGCATTTTCATTTTTGTTAAGAAAAAGGTCATCAAATCTCGGAATAACTTTACGTTGCTTGTAACGGGCACGTTTCTCTTCCTCTGTCTCTGAGACTACCGGGGCCTTCGAATATGTCCCCTTGCATAAACGACGACGACCCATGCTGAATCATACTGATAAAAATATAACAACATTTGCTGTACACTAGTCAGTTCGTCTGTACACTAGTGCACTTCTAAAATAAATGCACAAATTAAATAACATTTAAAATACTGTACTACAAAATAAAAACTAGTATATAAATTTGTTCAATGCCTTCGTGAAAATTTACATTATTAATCAATTACTATACCGTATTCATTAGAACTAAATCACTAAGAAACTTGGGTACACAACAGTGTGCTGCTACCCTATTCTATGATGGGGTATTATGGAGTACAGGTAAAGAGCTAGCAAGGTTCACCTAATATGCCATATTGCAGGATAGTTTGCTAGACATGTGATGTGAATCTACTAGCCTGCATTAGCAAACTTTTGGGTACAATATAAAAATATTCTCTAATATCCATGAGTAAGTACCCCAGGGCACAGTCCTTGCGCCGCTGCTATTTCTCATTCTTATCTCAGAAATAGACAAAAATACTAGTCACAGCTTCGTGTCATCCATTGCAGAAGATACAAAAATCAGCATGAAAATTTCCTTTGGAGAAGACACTAAAAAACTGCAGGCAGATATTAATAGTCTTCAATTGGGCAACTGAAAATAACATTATGTTTAACGATGACAAGCTCCAGGTACATAGGTATGGTGGAAACGAGGAACTTAAATGAAACACGGGGCACAGGACACAATCAGACCTACTCAGAAGGAAAGCAACATGTAAAAAATCTGGGAATTATGACGTCTGATTACCCGACATTTAGTGAAAATAACCGAGCAAATACAGTATAGCAAAGGCCAGGAAAATGAAAGGATGAATTATGAGAATGTTCAAATCCAGAAACTCAACAGCAATGCTAACACTATTTAAATCACTGGTGCTGCCCTGTCTCGAGTATTGCTCAGTACTCGCTTCCCCTTTCAGAGCAGGAGAGATCTGAATTAGAGGGAATACAAAGAACATATATGGCCCGCCTAGAATCGACAAAATGGCTAAATTATTGGGACCTCAAAGCTCTCAAAATGTATTCTTTGGAAAGATGAGAAAGGTATCAAATAATATATACATGGAAGATACTTGCAGGCCAGGTCCCAAATTTGCACAGTATACTGGAGCAAAAGATAAGGAGGGAAATGAGGAATAGAACTAGTAAAGAGTAGAGGTGCCATAGGAACAAGCAGAGGTTCACAGCTGTTCAACACCCACACTGCAAGCATTAGAAATATTGCTAGAACAAAGGTGCATGTATTCAAGAGGCACTTAAATTCAAGACGTTCTTGCAAGAAGTTTCTTGCAAATGAATTTGGGTAGATATAAATAGGAGCTGCCTCGTATGGGCCTATAGGCCTTCTGTAGTTACCGTCATTCTTATGTACCTATAGTGTAGGTTAATACACCCTTGGCCACATAACCCTACGGCCGCGTTAGGGTGAAGCAACCCACACCCTCCTACCTCTCTAGTCACAAGTGAAAACCAAAGTAAACACGGTTGATATTTGATATAAAGATGAAAGAGAGGAGAGGACGATAGACATACCTGCAGGAGTCGAGCAGTTGCACACACAAACACACAACTAGCACAGAGTCCCTAAGAACACATTAACCACCATCATTCCCTTCGAACACATTGTTGTCAACTGCACCCAACGCTCTTCGTCCCGATCCTCACCTTGAAGACTCGGACCTGTGAATGCGTATATTGCGTGCGTGGGTGTATGTGTGTGTGTGTGTTGCGTGTATGCATGTGTGTGTGTGCTTGAGGGTTGGATACTGCGACCTGGGTGATGATAACAGTGTAGCAGTTGTCATCCAATATTAAGAGAATGGCGCTCCAACAATTGCGTTCGGACGAAGTCTCCGCTTGTCCCTCTCATTGGTGGAAGTTTTGAACCTTCGTTCCCTACTGGTCGGCTCTCCATAATTTCTTTTAATAAATGAATCAATCAATTAATAATAATAATAATTGCCTTACTCCCGGGTAATTTTTTAACTTATTTGTATACAATTAAATAATATATAGAAGAATGAAAGAATATACTATATATAGAAAATTAAAGAATATTAGTATATTTTGGTAGCAGTCTTTCTTGTAAACATATGTTGTTAAATATGACCGAAAAAGTAAGATTAATAATTCTAACACGAATTTTCTCAGTATTTCTTTTGCTTCTTTTTACTGTCGATTGTAATTGAAAAATCAATTCTCCAAAATTCATTTTTATTTCTAGTCTGACGCGACGCTTGAACGCGTTTCGTAATAACTTATTGTATTTTCAAAGACTTTTGTTTACACACATACAACTGTAACCTGAAAACACAAAACAGAGTTTTACTTATGCTAACACTAAACAGCTTGTCTTATATACTCGCATTTGGGTGAGGTGATATGTTGCAACAGTTTTGGATGAGGTGAACAAACTTTTGACCAACACAAGACAGAACACGGAACAATGGGTATTAATTGGATAAATGAGAGGGAAGAATGGAAGTAACTGCAAAGGGCCTATTGGCCCATACTTCCTCTTGATGCTTCTATATTGGTACGGAGTCTTGAAGTGGGTAAAACAGTAAAAAGAAACATAAGAAATATTGAGAAAATTCGTGTTAGAATTATTAATCTTACTTTTTCGGTCATATTTAACAACATAAAATTAAAGAATATATAGAAATCCTTGATTACCCTCATAACCGCGACCATTTCCCCATCCTAATTCCCTTCTTTTCCGTTTGCTCTTCTCTCCCTTCCCTCCCTCGGAGGCGCCTTGATAAGGCGGACTGGAATATGTATTTTTTTTTTTACTCTCCGTGCTGCTCTTCCCTGCCATTCTGTTGTCTCTCAGGAGGGAAAAGGCTCCCTCCTTTTCCATGACACCTTAGTAGACACTGTCCCTCGCAGCATGGGGGAAGTGTGCATCGTATGGTGGCGATCAGTGTGTGCTTGGGCTACGTTGCATTTCACACTCACTTAATGAAACACCGTCCATTACATTACGGGCTATTCATGCCCGTGCCACCTTTAGGGTGGCTTAATCTTCATCAATCAAACAATGTCCAGCTCACTTTTATCCAAACTACATTGTCCCACTTACAGTCGTGTACCTCCTTGTTGAATGCCCTGCCAGGGTTTTCAAGATGATCGTATGTCATGCTTTCCTAATGTTCCGAGAAAGTAGTTTGTCCCTCGATAGTACCCTTGGCGAATCTGATACTGTTGATATTGTTCGCCTTATGTCCTTCTGTTCTCGTATTGTCATCATGAGTGATATTTAGCTCATGAACAAATCCACAAGGGCTGTGATGAGGTGTATTGAAGGGCGAAGAGGTAGAACAGCTTGTTGACAGAGTCCGAGTGCATTGGGGAATCGTGTAAAACCCTGGTTTGTGTCTCAGAGAGGCTGCAGGATCAGTGTGAAGTCAGTAGAACTCCCGGTTGCAATTCGTTTGACCATGTTGTGGTGCAGTCGACTAAGGCAGCGTCTGGGATCATCCCGGGTAGAAGTTCGAACCCTCATCACGGCCCTTATGGATTTGTTCATTTGATATATCACGCTATTGTGATTTGTGTGTATTGATATTTAGCTCTTTCTTTGAGTAATATCTAGTGATTCACAGTGCTATATATTCTTCCCATTTTTGGTACCTTTTGATAATTACTTACTTCCCATCAGTTTGGTTTTCAACACACGAGGGAGTTTTCTTATTTAAACTTGAGCAGCGAGCGTGGTGCTTACTCCGCTAGTACTACCTTCATCAGTACATCCAGCCCTCCCCAACACAGCCTTCAACAACAGTGCCTGCATAAACACAACCATGTTTCTAAATCCTCCATATAGGTGCACTTCTAAGCCTCTATGGCAATTTCAATTATCTGGTATTGTTTTCTGTCCATTTTAATAATTATAATTTTGTGACAGTTAATAATGGTAATCATTTGAAGAGACGCTGAGACAGGGTGGCTATATAGCACCATTCTAGTCGTAGGTTAAAAGTACAGTAACATAATTCTCAAATATTACTCAAGATACTGATATGAAATGAGAAATACATTGAGATGTTTCACTGAGAAGTGTACCTCATGTCATCTAATTTAAGGGGAAATGATGGGAAACAAAACTTATGGTCATCTTCAAAAGCTGGGCATTTAAAAATGTTAGAGTTGTGTAACCTAGGAGTGGAATGAAATAAATTGAGCAATAGGGGGCATGTTTCCTTTCCATCAGGCTACCAATTTGTGTTAATAAGCCAGGGCAGTAACCTTTGAAAGGAATGTTAAGTCCACAGAATATAAATTATCACTAAATATACTATACAACATGCCTAATGATGAGTCTTGTCAAACCAAGAGCTGTATGTATGTGTGCATGTATTTTAAATATCTTCTAAACTGTATATTTAATGTTTTTCATGATTGATTATATTATTAGGCTAATGATATGATGATTATTTCTTATGACTAATGCCAGTATCAATGAGCATTTATTTAGTTACATGCATTAGTAGTCAAAAATTAGTCTTTGGTATGTGCAATATGCATCCTTGACAATGTATTACAATATTCACATGCAACTGACATGCTTTAACACTGGGATATTTGGAAAAAATATAAATATTGTACTGTTATTTCTCATGAATTCCACATTATAAACTATATATATATATACTGTATATCCTTAATGTATCTGTGAAGTATTTGAAAACCAGTAATCGACAATCAGAGACATTGGTGTTATAGGATAAAGTTATTGGCATGCAGGATAACCTGGACATCTGCAGCAATTTAATACAAAATATAATTATTTGAATAATTATAAAAAACTAGTAAGATACTTTCATAAGTGTAACAATCAAAAGTTAACATATTCCAAAGTTTCCCAATTAGATAACCACGTGCTTTCCGGACGCCACTTATCTGAACATGCCTGTTATCCCTTTTGGGTTTGTCAGAATAAAAAGTTCAATTAACTAGTGAGACAGGCAGTCTGAAGAAAAATGTTCAATAAAGATGGAACTTGTTTGCCCAGTGACCGTACATGGTGCCACTTGAGCAGTGTTCATACACTAATGGATGGCTCAGAAGATTTAAACTCTGCCATGGCATTAGGTACATTAGAATACAGTACATGGTGAAAGGCAGTCTACTGAGGTTACCTCATCACCATTAATCTTCACTTCAGTCAACCCAACACTCAGCATCCACCACCACCTTTTCCATCTACATAACAATGCTCCATCAACCACAATCTTCAAGTAGACAAGTGGATCAGAACTTCTCATATTAAGTACAAACAAAATAATGTTGAATTTATGCAACAAAATTGTCAAATTTGTTTTCCCTAGCTTTACAGGATGACGAACCACTTATCCGGACACAACAGGTTATTCATTCATTCTCAGCCCTGAGAGGTTCGGAAACCATGTGGCCCTCTACAGATAAATTTAAAAAAGCAAAAACTCTTAAATGTTTCTCACTTTGGATGCATGGTCCAGTAATGGATATATCCTCATCTTTTGCAAGTAAATCAAGACATTAAGAACAAACTTTTAAATTGCCATTTAATTGCCTCCAAAATTAAGTGCTTAATGGATATTTACATTTTTTGCAAATATTTTCTCTTAAATTGTTATTTACAGTATAAATTTTCTTTCTTCAAACAATTCTCATTTTAACTTATTTTTGTAATTTTGACAGCTCTTGGAATGAACAATCTCACCACTTGTCCGAGTTTAATCTGAGAGTTGGCATGCATACTGTATAACATGAAGTATAACTTCTGATGATTTTGGAAGAGTAAGCATTTTTGCATTACATGAGCTATGCACAGAAAGCAGTATCATGCTCCATGTGGAATTACTGCTGTGTGTTACAGGTACAAAACAGCATCAGTATTTTAAATGACTAATCCACCAGATAAAATAATTGTCCTAATTTACACAGTGAAACTAAAAGTGTAGAGTGCATATACTTGCTATGATCACAAATGATCACAGAGTTCCAAGTAATACTTATTTCCTTTGCACACTAATAAAGCTGTTTTATCCCAGTTAAATTATGCCATTATAAGATTTATGGTATTAGTTATGTTAGAATTTAGACCCAGAATCAAGTTCATGATGTACAATAACAACCCAAGGGTGTAAAATCTGGACGGGTCGATCCGCCTGCAGAAACACTGGAGCGTTGAGAATGATAAACGATCAAAACTTGTAACAGATAAAACGTGTCTAGAATTAGACAAATTCAGACACCAGCTGCTAGTTACAATGACACTTTTTTAATTACTGCAGAGCACCAGTAACTAATTGTTTGTGAATTTTTGTTAACATAGCTTAGATTAGCAACAGTAAGCACACATTCACTACTGTATACAATATATTTGAATCTAAGAATAATTTGTTTATTTTTATTAAAACACATTAAAACCAAACTGATGTGCATGGTATTATCAATTATATGAAGTTCTTTCCTTTTAATCAAGTCTGAATCTGATAAAACAAAATTTCAACTGCAATCCTAGGTTTGTTGATGAAATATTATGTAGGCATATTCAAATTTAGTAATTCATACTGGAAGTACATCTTTAATGTCGTGTAGTATCACTGCTTCCTGTTTGCCAAAGTTGAAACAAACCTACTATATAAAATCCATATACAGTTTATTATTCTAGAAGAAAACCACATCTTTAATAGACTTACACTAACTCTCTTTATCATTCAGAAATCAAAACTTGTTTGAATTAAACATACAGTATTTGGGGAAATTCAGGTTTATATCATACTCCTATACACAACATAGATGATTTCTATGAGAAGAATTATACATTCACAGACATGAAGTTTGAAAAGCATCAGCATATCTGAAACAATCCAGTATTAAACCATCCATAAAACCTTATCTAGAATAATGAAATACAGCCGTATATTTCTAAATATATATATATACATATTTTGTGTGTATGTGTAGTTTTGTTATGTTTCCAGAATGCTGTATCACTGTCCATCCTTGGTTATCTCTGAAGTGGGTCTACCAGTCATCTTATTAATTATACACTAAGTTAACAGTTCTTTTACTAGCATGACCTTCATGCCTGATTTTGAGGAATACTCTCTTAAAACATATACTGCTGTGGCCACCTCTTTGCATTCACTTGATCCATGAGACAGAGCCATTGATTGGCTACGTAGATTTCATCATCGATCAATGCATCATTGGCTTTACATCGAGTGTCTCGGTAACCTCGACAGCACAGACTGACTTTTCAAGACCCATTTGCATCACAAGAACAATAAGTCATTAAACAAGTGAGGTTCAATCATCCCAACTTGGACACGTCTATAATGTATCAGCACCTCACTGAAAGCGGTGTTAAAAAAAACTCATTTCAATTTAACCACAATTGAAATTTTGTAAGAACCATCTCAGGGTTATCTGCAGGACTCTGCAAATTGAAATGTCAGTTTGTGATGTTAGTGCACGTTTTATTAAATTTTTATCATGGGGTTTCACCTACACTGCTTATTATCTAACAATGACGTCTACAAATTTAGCTATTAGATATTAAAGGAATTTTAGTTCATCGTTTAATCATCCCATCTGGATTTTCTCTTACGTTCCCGCTGTGGCGTATTTTCAACAACCTTAGCGTCACCTAGTGTCCACGAGGTTTCTGCGCTAGCTGCAGTGAACTGAAAAGGAAAAACAAAATGAAAATCAAGCATTATTAAAAGTGTGTTCATGAAGAAAATATTTTAAAGAAATATAGTGAAGTGTAATTTAGAGTTAATAATGAAATTTACATAAATTAACCCATAAAAGCTGAATGGAATTAAGTAAAATTTCAGAAGAATGAGGAAAGTAAGAACAGACAAGAATGGGATAAGGAGGGGTAAAAAAAAGAGAGACAAGGAAGAACTAAGAAAAACAAATGCAACATGGAAGAAAACAAGAGAATGGAAAAGAACAAAACAAGAACTGAGAAAAAATGATAGAATGAAGAAGAATGAAATACACTGAGAAGAAGTGTATACACTTGTTACTGAGAAGAAACTGACAAGAAAGAACTAGACAAATTAAAAATCTGAAAATGAACAGTTATGAATACTAATCTCTTTACATTATAATGGGATTCATTTAAGGGTCTTCAAAATCTTTAATCAATCACACAAAAGTACAGTCTGCTACTGCATATATGAAAAGATGAATTCTTACGTATAATGTACGCACATGTATCTGACACAATATTACCCTTTTATTTCTTATGACTTATTTCTACTTTTAAATCTGGAATAGAACAGGCATCAACTACATTTTTATTCAGTTCATGTGTGTTCACTACTAATGTACTGAAGGGGTACTTCTTTTACTTCTTTATATTCCTGTGACTCACTTGTATTTCAAGATTTCAACCATGCTATCTAGAATTACCTCTCCTTATTTCAAATGATATACCCTTATGGGCTCTCTTTAAAATTTTGTACAGTGTGACCAAGTCTCCTCTGGATCTCATTTACTCCATTGTTTGTACATTCAATGTTTCTAGTTTGTTCTCGTAACTTTGATCTCATAGACTCGCATCACGTCCCAAGGACAGCCCACCTCTCATGTTGTGATCTGCCCAATCTTCTCTTTCCCCCCAAAAAAATAGTGAGTGCTATTATGTCTTATCTTTTTAGTACATACCAATGCAACGAGGTCATCCATCTTGCTCCTCACACTTCTAGAGTTAGTATAGCATACCTGCAGACATCTTTTCTGTGCTGTCATATTTTTCACTACATTTTTTCATGGCAAAATTGTTTGTAATTGTTCTTATTTCCCTCCCCACCTTTTTTTTTAGGTGTCTTAATTTTCCGATTATTTACACCTGTATCAGTATACATTAAATGTTTGAAGCTTTGCATACTATTCCTTGCTATGAGTGTGCAAAAGCTGCCCCCCCTCCTCCTCCCTTGAGATGAACCTTGTCCCTTCCATACATCATGTTTTTGTCAATGTAATACTCCTAGTTATCCATAATTGGTATTGCATTATTCATGCAACACTTTTCAAGTGGTTGGTTTACAGTAATCATTCTTAACATCCACTCACTACTGGCTCTCAACCATGGCACAACACTGAAAGCAATGTTGTCAGAAATGTCACAAAAATAAAATATTAAAAATTATCAGTAACAAAATAAAATTTAGATTTGGTGATACATACATACATACTTTAGAAATATATATATATACATGCATATTCGAAACTAACCTGGTTCTTGTACTGTGAATGGAAAGCAGCCTTCATTGCAGCAAGGCGATTGGTAGCTGGACCTGTCATGCTAGGGTCGCCACCTCCATAGGCTTGACTGGCTGGCCCTACTGCCACACTGGCCCCGCCGCCACCGCCGCCGCCCCCCCCACCACCACTACCTACTAACATAGCATGCAAAGAGGAATCTGAATCAATTAGTTGAAGTTGCATAAACACAAAAATGCTCTCATTAAAATTTTAGGACACACAAAAAATCCATTTTCACTGAAAAAAGATCTAGCAATAAAGTTAATTTTTGACATTTTCAACAGTATTTTCTTCTTTTAGTTCTACAAAGTATAGATGTCAAGGGACTACTGATATATCATAACAAGGTATAAATACTCAGACGATGCGTCACAATAACGTGATTGAAGATATGAAGACTAACCACACACCAGAAGATGAGATGACAGCATTTCGGTCTGTCCTGGACCATTATCAAGTCAATTGTGAGGGAACGAGGAAGGCACAGGCATTACAAGAGAGAGAGAGATCAGGAGGAGGAAATTCCTAGAAGAAAGTAGGAGCAAGGCAAAAAGGTACGGATGGGATGGGTGTAATAATGGGGTGTAAAAAAAAAGAGGGGTAATAATGGGTATAAGAATGGGAACGTAAGAAGAGAAAGAAAAAAAAGAGAGAAAAAAGGGAAGCAGGCTTATGTTTGGTCACATTTGTTAAGAAAGGTTAGAGCATTTGAGAATGTACTGTGAAAGGGAAGAGTCAACAGCAACAAAGCCAGGACTAAGGTTCATGTTGAGTATGTTGTGTATCAAAGCAGATTCAACAAGACAGCGTCTATGAAGAGTAGAGGCAGGAAAGATTATTTTGAAAGAAGACCAATCAATAGGATGATTAGAATCCCTAACATGACAGAAGAGAGCAGTGTTATTGTTTGCAGACTTAACACTTCTTTTGTGTTCCTTAATTCTGTGGAACGGAGCAGAAGGAACAGCAAGACTGAACGCAAGCGAGAGCAGACCCGCCAGCTCCGCCTGAAACGAGGCAACAGCACTCGGCACCAAAGACAGTCCCAGAAGAACCCCGAAGGGAAGGATAAGACAACCCTATCAGAGATCGTAGTACACCTACGCAGTGATAGGAAGACCTGAAGGACCACAAGGAACCACCTACTGCCGCTGAAACAAAACACGCAGGCAGGAGACCAACAACGAAGCCACCAGTGCCCACACAAGGGACGAGAACCCGAGACAAAAAAAAACGAGAAGCGAAGACTCGAGGGGAAGAATGAACCAGCCAGTACTGGGCTGGACTGACCCGCAAGAGAAGCGGAGACGCGGGAAAACCCGCAGGATCGGACACCGAGCAAAGAAGCACCCCTAACCAAGGGCAGCAAAGAACCATAGAACAGGAAGAGGCCAACAAGGAAATGAGGACCACGAACCGAAATGCGAAGCGAAAACAGCAACCCTGTAACCCGCAGGAGCAGCACAAGCAGCCCCAGCAGGGAAGAAGGACGCACGCGTCACCGAGGCATATATGAGAACCCCAGCATGTGAACTTCACGAAAACAAAAAGAACGTTCTGGAAAGGAACAGAAAACAGAAGCCAGGACCATAAACCCAGCTCCATCCATCCCAACGAAAAGGAATTGTAGGGGCAGGAGTGGGCGAATGAAAGCAACACCCACCCGCAGGCAGAACAAGCACCTCGTATACCACATACAAAAGACCAAACCCGGAATATGCGGCCCCAGCATGGAGCCCGTACCCCGTTTGGAAAAGTGCAGAGGTAAGCCCCGAGGCCAGCCCCAGAGCGAAGAGGCACAAGTTACGAGGACAGGCTGTGGGAATGCAACACACAACACGTAGACAGAAGAGGAAGGGGAGACAAGAACACAACTAACAAAATTCCCAGAAGAATGAAAGGTAGAGAAAGATAAAATGGTGAACACAGGCAGTACACAAAGAAGGGTGAATATTCACTCTCCCATGTCATCAAATAATGATGACATGGAGAGTGAAAAGCAAAAAGGCTAATACTATATTACCAACTTAAAAAAATACAATAAAATTGAGAGGGCATAGAAAAAAGAATGGAAAAGACTAACCATAAACAACTACGTCAAATATGTACAAGAGTATTTTTAGTACTGTATAAATATGCATGCACCATTTAAGAATTTTTTTATAATATTTTTGCATCCATAACTTGAAATAACATTACTACTAAATGAAAGCTTGAACAATAAAATGGTCTACCCACTGACCTGTAGATTCACTGACTGGAGTAGACCCAAGGCCTGGACGCTCTCGGAAGCCTAAACCTCGTCCCCCAAGAGCCTTAGCCTTGCCCTGCTTGAATCGAGACTTGCGGAACCACGAACTCTGCATAGCCAACTCCAGTAGCTCAGATGGAACCTCTTGGGCAGCTCCTTCAAGGTTCCGTACCAAATGCCCTGTAAATTCTTTATCCTTATCTGTAACAAGTGTGTAAGCTGTTCCCTTTTCTCCAGCACGACCTAAAAGATCAGAACAAAAAGCAGTGTTTAGATTTTTTCCATTAAAATAATGTTTAACATTAGATATACTGTATTGTAATCATAACACAACCTATGAATTTAAGTATACCTGTACTCTAATGGTTAATTCATACTAAAAACAAAAAATACTTAATACAGAATTTGTTATTTACAAAATAACAATTGCATTAGATAATATCTGATAAAGTCTTACTGGGATAGATATCTATTATAATGGATGACCGGACATCTTCTAAAATAATCCAGACCGTTATCCTAGTTTATTATAAATGTCTTAAATCCAATAACTCCTGTACATCCAGAGTTTTCCTCACATTACATTATGCAGTAAGGGTTAGAATGATCTTCTTGAAAGCATTATGAATGATTGCAAGAAATATAAGGAACTTGGAAGACATTACGTAAGAGAAAATTGTTGCATTTACGTCCATTGCAAGCCTGTATGTGCCTTTATATGTGCAATATTCAGAATATTATTTTTCATTGGAAATACCAATTGTTGGTCAGCTGAAAATGTAAGTTTAGCTTGCAAGTTAAGGATTATAACACAGTACTGTAATAATGTTAAAAACTTATAAAATAAATAATAATACTGTACATGTACTACTTTATTTTCAACCTGTACTATATTTGCTTTTGATGATTTCTTATGTTTCAACACCTGCCTTATTTTTTCCCTTACCCCTTTTATTAATGGAGAAAGCCCTACTCACCTGTCCGGCCAATTCGATGGGTGTGTGTGTCTATGTCTCTGGCTACATCATAGTTGATAACAGTTCTGATGTGGGGTATGTCTAACCCTCGAGCCGCTACATCAGTAGCTACCAAAATAGGTTTGTCCTTCTTTTTGAAAGCAGTTATAACTTCATTTCTTTCAAACTGACTCATGTCACCATGTAGCAGAAGTGCTTCAAATTCTTTGATTACTAGATTCTTGCTTAGCTCCTCCGCATTTGCTTTCTTAGTTACAAAAATTAGCACACTGCCAGAGGACATATACTCCACAAGGTGCTGAACGAGCCAAGACCATTTATGACCAGCCGAATTCAAAACCCGAATAATCTGTGGAGATGAAGAGTTGATTATTCACTAGAAAATCAATATTTACAAAATAATGTTAAAAGTTTGAGATAACAAGACTCTAGCTAATGTAATTCTAAACAACATACCATAAGCACTAGTCCTATAATCAATCTTATTCTGTATTTTCTATCTGTGCTGTATATGAAAACAACTAGATTACATAAGATTTATATTGTATAAACATTGACCACTTCCATGCTTTTACTACACGACTAGATAATAATACAGAATGCACTGAAACATTGTAAATTATTTTCTTTTCACATTTGTGGGATGGGTGTCTTCCAGGACATGTTCAAAGATCTGGTCTCGGGGGTTGTGGCTGGTAACTTCCCCTCGCATCACAGTATCAGCTTCTTGTGCCCCATCCTTATTGCTGCTGTGTGGCTCTTAGGTGTCTGTTTACCATTTGCCTACTATTTGAAACCTTTGTCTTTGTTCTTTGGGTCCTGGTCAAAGCCTGCCACTTTGACACTCTTCCTGGAGTTTGCTGATCAGGTAAATTTTTCCCTATTTAATAATCGTTTCTCTACTGCGCAGTATTTTGATGCCTTTCCTCCATCCACAGCAACTGGCATAAGCTGCCACCGAGGAGACTAACTCAAAACGGTCATCAAGATAATTTAAATATTGCTTTATAAACACTTTCTTAGCTGCTCCTGTTTCTCCACTTTTTATCCTGGCTTCCACGAGCATGTTGGATGGCTTGGAGCTTCAAGTGAAAGTAATAGATTCCCTTAACCCTATTTTTATAAAGGGTGCTGCCATCTTGTGCCTAGTGGTCTGTTCAGTAGTTTACAGAGCAATAACTGATTTGATACAAAAACAAAACTGAATACTAGCCATCAGATTCATAAGGATCACGAATATTTTTGCTAGACGAAAAAATAAACAATATTCAGCTGAGGTAGCTGATGACACAGCAGTTTTTCGCATCATCTTAGGTATGACTTAGAAGAAATGCATACCACCCAATTTTTGGTGCCACTGAAGTTTTTGTTTGGAAATGTACTTCATCTGAAAAACTTAGTCTATTAACATGGTTGTCCATATACATCTAGCCTATCTGATCATATTATTTCTTTCTGAGAATGTGTTAGTAAATGGTTGCTTAAATCTTTATGGATGTAGCAATCTGTCAAACCAGGCCACACAATCATCAAAATTATCAGCTGGTAATATCCTGAGAAGATTATGAATATAAGAAAAAAAATTTTAGGCGAGAAACAAAGGGAACATAGTATAAACAAAATATATTAATATGTGAATTAATAACTCAGCTTTATTAATACCTGTGTGACATCCTGGTTAGCCTCCCCAAGCTCTCCTTGCACAACACGAACTGGATCTATTAGCACGTCTCGAGCCAGCCGCTCAACTTTTCTTTTGAATGTGGCAGAGAAGAGCAGAGTTTGACGGTCAGGCCGGACATGGTCACAAATGGACCTTACCTAAAATAAATCATTATTATTGCACCATGTTTTCTTCAATAACAGTATTATAGCTGTGAGGTAAGGGTCAGGAGCTGGACCTTATTCTCTACGAACATAATTAGGCGAGTACGCACACAAACCCCATAAAGAGGCACGCATGCATGTACACAATCGATGTAAATATTATTAAAGTATGAGAAATGAGTCACTGCATTAATCTAAGAATGTTTGGAAGGCAGGACTAAGAGCCTAGCTCAACCCTGTCAGCACATCTAGGCGAGTACATACACACACAAAAATGTACAGACAATATTTGGAAAGCAACATTAGAAAAAATACAAATACTGAAATTACTTCTTGAAACAACGTAAAGCAGCAAACATGTTAGTGAGGAGGGGACAAAATCCCCCTTTTCTCTGACTGACTTGGTCTGAATTGTGTGCTTATTTTTTCCCAAACTTCCCAACAATTATTCTCAAAATTCCTAAGAGCTAATAGGTCTTTGAGTTTTATGAACAATGGTGGTCTGGGGAGAGGATTGCCAAAACAATGTCGAGGGACAGTACCTACACTGATACTTCCTTAAATGGCCAAAGCCATACTACAACACTGTTAAAAAAAAAACTTACCTGTGGTTCAAAGCCCATGTCAAACATACGATCAGCCTCATCAAGAATTAGGAAGGTGACACGTTGCAGATTAGTAGCTTTCATCTTGATCATGTCGATCATTCGCCCAGGCGTGGCAACGACAATTTCAGCACCAGCTTCCAGTGCTTTACTCTGCTCCCATTTACTGCCACCACCATATGCACATACAACCTTTAAGTCAAATATAAACAAAAAAATAATAACTACAAAGTTACAAATAAATATTTAATATGAGCATATTTGCATCATGTAACACTTACCCAATTTACCAAAGAAACATCTTCAGCTATCTAAGCATAAATAACATGAAATATGGGGAAAAAAAGTTCATTGTTGAGCAATATTTGTGTGAAGGGTTGCCTGAAATTCCCTCACTAATAGCCTAACTGGGCTCCTCCTTCAATTAACCAAATGCTCAAGTTATCGGCATTATGAAGTCACATTGTATCAAAGAAAAATGTAAATTAAAACACTTTAGATTATAGCAAATTACTATTGTAGGCAATGTCACTAAATGAAAACATAAAATTAAAAGTACTGTACTCTATTTGATTAATGCTTCCTGAACAAAATATTTCAAAGATAATGGTTATCAAGATAATGTTTATACATAGATATGTATTCAATTACAGGTACTTGTTTTAATAAAAATATTATAGTCAATAATTGCCAAAAACTACAAATTTTAGTTTTATCAGAAATATAGTTGCAAAGAAGAGATCCAATCCCAATTAATCCAAATTAATGGGGCTGTCCTGTACTGGGCAGATTTCACAAAATAGAAAGTGTTCGTCATTGTAACTCACCTGGATATTATACACCTTGCCAAATCTTCGAGCTTCCGTATAGATCTGCTGTGCCAACTCTCGGGTAGGGGCCAAAATGAGACCAATTGGTCCTTCTTCTGGAGCCAATTCTCTTTGGTCCATAATATGAACCAACATTGGCCAAATAAATGCAGCAGTCTTACCACTGCCAGTTTTTGCAATGCCAATAGCATCCCTTCCACTCAATGCAATTGGTACTGCCTGGGACTGAATAGGAGTGGGTTGAGTGTAATCTGATTTACGAATGGCCTTCATCAGTGCCTCATCAAATCCGAAGTGACCAAAACTGGTCACTGGCTTGGGGGCATCAAAACCTGTAACCTGTAATACAGAGAAAATGTTACAAAATAATAATTACCTGTCTATATCCTACTTCATACACTGTAAGGTAGAGGAAATCTCCCACTACGTATGCTGTATATGGTCATTTCCCCACATTTCACAACTTAATTTTTCTAGCAAAAGTACAACTTGACTCAATCATTCTACATAACCTCTAAAATTATTTATATTTATTTCAAGCAATCTACACTACACTTTATTTTTTATCATAAATGTATCATAAACATACGTCCTTACCACTACTACTACTGTACTATTGAATATACTCAGCAAATTAATAAGACTTACAAAATAACACATTATGATGAACTAACCACCACATACAAAAAAGTTAATGAACATTGTCAATACCTAGCAACTGTTTACCTTAATCCCTAGCTTGTTTCTCAGTTCATGAACCTGAGACGGCCCTAGCGCAGCAATATCCTCGTGCTCTTGATAGAAGTTTTTCGTAAAATCTGAATACTCAAAAGTAGAATGGTCAATAGGTGGGAGCGGATCTATATATTTGGGTTTCTTAGGAGCAATAGGGTTTCCATCTTCATCATATTCGATCTCATCTTCACTATCTTCTTGTTGCCTGTAAAATATGCTAGGGTTTTTAACATGTTAACAAAGCTACTAACAAAGATTGAGGCATAAATAGTTTGCAAGACTAATAATTTATTTTAAATGTGTAATTTGATAATGCATATTCGAATGAGCATGATAAATTTATATCAGCAAATTTTCTTTTAATATAAAACGACAAAAAGATTGAATGAAAACAAATCTTTATCTATTTATTTCAACCATACTAAAAATCTAAACCAATCATGGTTATCTCCTCTCGTCCTTAAAGATCATATGCAATAATAAATTAAATTTTAAATGACCCAACCCCACACACATGAAATGCAATGAAAGTGACAATGTTTTGGTCACAATGTAGAGAAGCCAATATAAGGCAAGAGAGAGAAGGCGAGATGAAAGGAGATTAGTGAAGTAAAGCATGAAACCAAAGCATATGGCAGGTCTCTACGAGAAGGAAAATCTAAATAAAATAAGCAGGAAAAGGGGAAGAAAAACATTTCTCTTCCAATAAAAATATAAAAAAGATGGGTGTGTGATGATAGAACCTCGCAGAGAAACTTTGACAGCAGCTGGATCCTCCTGGGAGTATGGTATAAGGACTATAGATATACTGTACTATACTGTACATTATATAAATGTATTTATTGCAGTACAGTACTGTATTTATTTAGATGATACAGGTACAAAAACCATAGTGTAAATTTTCTCAAACTGCAAATGCAATACACGAAGGAAGGGAAGCAAACAATCAGGAGAAAGAGCTCAGCCATTATGACTATATAGCACCTGGAAAGGATCAGGAAAAGGATTTGGGATGGGACGGTTGGAAGGAGTGGTACCCAACCACTCAGATGGTTAGGGATTGAACACCGAACCTGCATGAAGCGAGACTGTCGTCCTACCATCCAGCCCAAGTGGTCAGGCGATATATGAACATACTGTAACTTCAGGCACAGTAAAATATTATAGCTCACCTTCCAGCATTGGGGTTTTCCTGTATATATCTGTAGTAGGACTCTTCGTCATCCTCCTCGTCTATGTCATCACGTACCCCTTTTATTTCTTTTTTGTCTCCTGCACCTTTTTTAGTTCTCTTAACCTGTACAAGATATAAATTAGCCATAAATATCTATCCATATCTAGAGAATCACATTCCACTTACACAAAAAATACAATACCATTTAAAATTTTTAGTAACCTTGAAGTCTATTATATAACAGAAAGATTCAAAACACTGATAAAACTCTCAATGCTTTGTTCATTATCAATGTACAGTACTACAGTTACACTATGCTTTGACGTTCATTTTAAGAGGTATATAATGAATCTAATTATACCCACAAATATCCAAACATGCCAAGTGCTCAACTCTGATACTACTCAAAACAATAGTTTTAAACTCTAAATTGTGCAAGACAAGTTTGTTAGGTGGATGGAGTACATCAGCTGCTTTGCTGGGAGTTGGTACTTTTATACACAGCTTACAACTTGGAGAAAAAAAATACTGCACCTCCTGTTCAATGCCAGCCATGAAAGCATCCAATGGATCTTCATCAGAATCCGAGGAATCCTTTCTTTGAGGTCCTGGGCTACCCGGGGCGGGCTGATATGCTCCCTCAAAGCTTTCATCCTCATCGTCAAAATACCTGTTAAATTTAAGACTGTTAACTTTGTATCTGCAACAATAAAGGATGAGATTGAGGCCACCCTTCCATATTCTCCCCAAGTAAAGATCAATTGCTGCCTACCCCATGCAAATGGGATAATGATCCTCATGATGTTAGCTCTGGAATGATGATGGAAAAGGAAATATAATGGAAGAAGCTTTTAAATTGACATTAATTTTAATTCAAGCATCTATTTTGATTTGATATGATAATCCCTTTGTCTTGATATTACAGAATATTACATACAGTAACACCTTATTATCAGCATTTCAAGCATAAAAGGTTCTTGAATGTGGACTAAAACAATTAAGAGTACTGCACTGTTAATTTAAATCACCGAGACTGAATGTGCTATTATTAATGTAAAACATTAAAAAGAAAAGGTGAAACTTTTGAAATGTCTGAGGAGCAATACATTATGTAGGTAAAGCCAGGAGGAACAGGATCAATATGTCTTACGAGGTAAAGTTTTCCAGAAAACACACGGGCCTTCCCAGTGAGAAACATAATAAAAACATAATTGTTAAAACGTTTTGACTATTGCTGATATTTCTACTTGCCACCAGAAGGCCAGAATGCAGAGCTGAAAAAAAAAAAAAAAAAAAAAAAAAAGAGTTCAGCAGGGTCACTTAGTGAAAAGCAACATTCCTGCTTGATGGGGTTCTGGGAGTTCTTCTACTCCCCAAGCCCGGCCAAAACAGAACAACTTACACGGAACAACAAGGAACAACTTACATGGAACAACAAGGAACAACTTACACGGAACAACAAGGAACAACTTACACAGAACAACAACAAGGAACATTCAGAAGGAACAACTTACTCATCTTCATCCCTCGGTCTTTTGCGGGGTTGGCCATAGCCACAGCCTCCAGAAATTGCATTTTGGCTAATAGCAGTCATTGTATGATAGCCATGCTTGCTAAGGGTTGCATTGGGTGGGGGTGGGATTGCCTCTTGTTTCCTGGCAAATGAAAAGCCTCCAAAGCCAAACCCTCGACCTCTATTGTAGCTCATTGTTTAAGCTGAAAATAAAATAAAAAAATTATATTTACAGCAAATACAGTACTGTACAGTATACAAAACTTTTTTACACCACCAAATAATTAGACAATTCTCTTATTAACCATTAGGGATTCATGCACTACAGTTAACTTCATCAATTTATAAAATATATAAAGAACTGGACTGTATAATGTAATATCAAGTACATAGGCCCATCCTGTTCAACTCTATTTGGATACACGCCCATAGAGTGAAGCCATATTAGTCTAAAGCATTGTGTAACAAAGGAGTAAAAACTATGCTTCTGGCACAATAACACTGGTTGTTTTACCATTGAATTCTTATTTTAAAAATTTAATAGGCATACAGATAAAATAGAATCTTGTGACCATTTTGTACACCAAAAGCTATACAAAATTCTTCAAATACAGTAGTCTCAACTTATATCATGAATTAGGTTAAATCATGTTTTAAAGCCCACAAGCAAACTATCGGCTGTACGATGGGATATAAGCTACTGTCTAGGCTACTGCAGATGATTCCCATTTCAAATTAGTTTTAAAACCTTACCTTACCTAACCTAACTGTACCTCATTATACATTAATAATGTATGAAGCATATTGTTCAACAGCATTGCTGTAGATTTTTTACAAAACAAAATATACAGATTTTAAAATTAAAATTTATTAATAAAATGTCCAGTGGGCAAGACTGCACATTAGAAACATGCCAACTGGAAGCAGTTCATACCTCCTAGGTATTGTGTGCTGTTTTGAAACAAGCGAATGAAATGTAAATTAAATTAACAGTGCACTTGGTGCAAAAACTAAACGGTAAGGCCAACAAGCAGTATGAAATCCCTTGATGACATACCTGTACATCCATTCTGGTCCAGATTTTATTCTACTAGTTTCCAGTAGATCACTTAAGAATGCAAAGGCTGGATGAAACATATGTATGAGAAATATATCCCCCACTGAAATTTAAATGAACCCTTTGGCATTCACAGAAACAACACAACCTAATGCAGGCACAAAATACAATCTGGGACTGTACTGTCATCAAGATTAAATTGAATAAAAGTGAACCATTCATACACAAAATGTGTACATTTTCAACCAAATATATTATAAAATCTTACTACACTGAAAAACTATGTAGTCTAGTGCTTGATTTCTGGCTGAAAATCAAATACTGTACCACACTGAAAAAATTTTGTGAAAAGAACGTCACTCTTTAAAAGCAAACTTCTTTCATTACAAATACCTAAATACTGAGACCCCTAACTCACCCACTTTCATAATTAACCAATTTTTTCTATATATCAGTTCCTATAATTAGTTTCCTCTCGTGTTATTTTCAGTATCAAGACCACTCGCGATTTCGATGTAAGTTAAACTCAAGCTGTGAGCTCAAGACAAATGGCCTATTGTTTTGGCTAATACAGGAGACTTACCGAGTGTCTCCTATGTGGTGGAGAAGCCAGAGGAGACGAGAGGAGGAGCCAGAGAGAGAAATATTCCTCGACAATAGAGCAGCGCCTCGGCCGCTCCACAATCAATCGTTGTTTACAATTGTAGCACCCGAGCCAACACTGCCGTCTCTCTACCGAAAATATTAATTAAATTAAATTAGTCACATATAATGTACATTTACACCATCTGATCTATAATTAAAGATAATAATTTACCTCGTGAACAATGAAGTCAAAGTAATTAGTATTTTCAAGATCTTTGGAAGCACCGCACATGTGCGCGGCTGCATATGGCGTCCAGCCTCGGCAACGCTCTTTTAAATTGGTCTTTGGTGAGGGAGCTGCAAGGAGTAGATGGCACTGGCGAGGGGCACTGAGTACGGCTGGCTGGACACTCTCTGGCACTTAGCCACTCACCTCCCTCCTCGTGGAAATCGGTGTAGTACATATATTCATCAGCCATTGTAGTTGGGTGCAGTGAAACTCAAGGCAACAACACCTGGAGGTGCTGACTTAATTGATAATCTACGGCCACATAGGCACTTCTTACATTGATGGCTCTGTTCAACTGTCAACAGGCCGTACTGCACAAGTCTGTAAGTACTGCAGTTAGCCACTGTACTGTAATACACGAAGAATCAGGTAAAGAGATAGGGATGCGGGGTTGATATCACACCAAACCTGTCCACAGAAGCCCAAACTTGTGGTCGATCTCGAACCCATTGTTGATGTGACAACATATACTGAATTTTGTAACTAGCTCATCAAAATTGTAACTTGCTTAGCTAAATGAATTGTAGAGTTCAGTCCCTGAGCCCATTATGTGCCTCTGTAACCCTTTCCACTACCCACCCACAAGATGGGTATGGGGTGCATAATAAATGAACTAAACACAAACTGGAGAAGAAAAGGAAAGTGTAAGCAATAAATGGAAGTGTAAGCTTATGTTAGGTCACGTTTGTTGACCTAACATTCATGCCCGTGCCACCTCTTGGGTGGCTTGGATCTTTATCAATCAATCAATCATCACAATCGACTTGAGAATATTTCAGGATGGACCGAAACGTCGTCGTCCCTTTACTTTCTAGTGTGTGGTCTTGTTAATAAACTAACTAGATAAAGATAGATTATTTAACATATGTGGTTCTCGTACAAGGAGACACAGGTAATGAAATTAAGGAGCAAGTAGAAGTTTGCAGAGAAAGTTGAGAATAACAGAAACTTGAAGGAAATCTGGCAAGACGTAAATAAAGTAAGGTGTAAAAAGCATAATTTTGTTGCACATCCTGACCCACAAGGAATTGCAAATGGTCTCGTAAATAAATGGCCGGAAGCTGCCAAACTTAGTTCATTACCCACTGTAACGAGAGAGTCATAAGATTCTTGGAAAGATCTTAGAAAAGATTTTATACTTACAGCAGGTAACAGTAGTGATGTCACTTACACAGGTATTACCAGAGATGAACATGGCGATTAAAGTTGGGAAATCTACCTCCCCTGGGGAGGATGACGTAACTTATGAGATACTTAATGAACTTGCCATTATGAAGAAAAGCACACTGTTAGAACGCGTTAATATTAGTTATAAAGAGGACAGTATTCCTAGTAAATATAAAAAAGCTATGATCATCCCTATCCCTAAAACCAATGGAGAGTACAGACCTGTGTCCTTAACCTCGTGTTTTTGTAAAATGATGGAGAGGATCATTTTAAATAGACTTTTATATATAATAGGTGATCAGCTGTCTAGTAATTTGTTCGGGTTCCTCAGAGGCAGAGGTACCTCTGACTGTAATGTCTAGCTAATGATAATGATTACTATAGAATTTTTATTGATTTACAAGGAGCTTTTGATAAAGCCAACAAAAAGGTTATCTTATATGAACTCGCTGGTCTTGGTGTTAAAGGGAGATTATTGCGTTGGATAGGGGATTATCTTCACGAAAGGAAGGCTCAGGTGTGGTATCAAGGTTGTATGTCAGGTGTGAGATCTTTTGAACTCGGCACACCTCAGGGAGGAGTGTTGAGTCTCACCCTATTTAATTTACTAATGAATAAGATAGCATCTGAGAGATACTCAAATGGGGTAACTCCGATCATATATGCCGATGAAATTTTGTTCCAGGGAAAAGATATTTCAAAGGTTCAAACGGTGTTGGATAATTTCGGAAATCTGTGTCACCATATGGGACTAGTGGTTAATGAAGACAAAACTAAGTTTGAATGTAGTAGTCGGAGGCCCATTATATTGAAAATAAACGGTAAAAATATAGAAAGAGTTAATATATATATATATAAGGCATGCGAACAAGCCTGAATTTGGTCCCCAGGACAATATGCAACTGAAAACTCACACCCCAGAAGTGACTCGAACCCATACTCCCAGGAGCAACGCAACTGGTATGTACAAGACGCCTTAATCCACTTGACCATCACGACCGGACATAATGAGGTGATAGCCGAGACTATTTGAACCACCCCACCGCCGGCACTCGGATAGTAATCTTGGGCATAGCATTTTACCAAATCACCTCATTCTTTGGGGCACACGTGAGGAACACAAATGCGAACAAGCCTGAATGGTCCCCAGGACAATATGCAACTGAAAACTCACACCCCAGAAGTGACTCGAACCCATACTCCCAGGAGCAACGCAACTGGTATGTACAAGACGCCTTAATCCACTTGACCATCACGACCGGACATAATGAGGTGATAGCCGAGACTATTTGAACCACCCACCGCCTGGGGGGGTGGTTCATCCCTATCCCTAAAACCTCACACCCCACTTCTGGGGTGTGAGTTTTCAGTTGCATATTGTCCTGGGGACCATTCAGGCTTGTTCGCATTTGTGTTCCTCACGTGTGCCCCAAAGAATGAGGTGATTTGGTAAAATGCTATGCCCAAGATTACTATCCGAGTGCCGGCGGTGGGGTGGTTCAAATAGTCTCGGCTATCACCTCATTATGTCCGGTCGTGATGGTCAAGTGGATTAAGGCGTCTTGTACATACCAGTTGCGTTGCTCCTGGGAGTATGGGTTCGAGTCACTTCTGGGGTGTGAGTTTTCAGTTGCATATTGTCCTGGGGACCATTCAGGCTTGTTCGCATTTGTGTTCCTCACGTGTGCCCCAAAGAATGAGGTGATTTGGTAAAATGCTATGCCCAAGATTACTATCCGAGTGCCGGCGGTGGGGTGGTTCAAATAGTCTCGGCTATCACCTCATTATGTCCGGTCGTGATGGTCAAGTGGATTAAGGCGTCTTGTACATACCAGTTGCGTTGCTCCTGGGAGTATGGGTTCGAGTCACTTCTGGGGTGTGAGTTTTCAGTTATATATATAAATATTTAGGCATATATGTTGGATATACCCATGAGAGTTTGGAAGCTGAGATGAACAGACTGTTGGGTCAATGTCGGAAGAGATTACAACCTCTGAAGGCCTTGGCATGCTGTGGAAAGGGAGTGGGAGTCCCTAAGATCTCTTATTGATTATGCTGCACCTGTCATTTCTTGTTTTGGTAAAGGTAGGATGAGTAAGTTGGAGAAGGTACAAAATGAAGCCATGAGAATTATCTTAGTATGCCCAATAAATGCTATGACTGAGATAATGAGGATGGAGTTGAATCTGAAGAGTATTGGGGATAGAATTTCAGAGATAAATGTAGCCTGTGCCATTGGATTAATGAGAGGTGGGGGAGGGGGGTAAAAATAGCCAAATCTACTCTATCCCTTTGAGATGTATTTCTTTCTTATCTCAATAAACATACTTGAACTTGAGGTGGGGGAGCTAATGAATTAATCCTCTCAGTTTAAAAGGTGGGAAGTAATGAACAATGTATGATAAAGAAGAGAGCATATATGAATACCTTATGTTCTAATGTTATAAAATATGATGTTCTTACAGAATGTATTGGTCTGCCTAAGAGACAGTTCACACCACCATGGCTTTATTTGATATTATTATTTATCACCACCAATACTGTCTCTCTGCTTCCCTCCTCACTCTGAGGTACTCATTTCTGGCCCTCTGGTATCTCTCCCTACTCTCCGGTGTTCTGTTATTTCTGTAGTTTCTCCATGTTCTTTTACTCAGTTGCTTCGCTACCTTGCATTCATGGTTGAACCATGGGTTTTTCTGTTTTTTTCGTTTTTTCTCCTTTTGGACTGGGATAAACCTGTCTGCAGCTTCCTGGCACTTCTGGGTGACAAAATCCATCATGTCCTGCACATTCTTGTCTCTAAGTTCTGTTTCCCATTAGGAAGTTCCTCATCTCGTCATATTTTCCTCTTCGGTAATTTAGTCTTTTCCCTCCGCTCCCATCCTTGGATAGGTTATCCCTACCTCCACCAAGTACTCAAAGGTCAGTACACTGTGGTCACTCATTCCTATGGGGCTTCAACTTTGACTTCCCTTATTTCTGGCTCATTCAGGGTGAATATCAAGTCGAGTCTAGCTGGTTCATCATTGCCTCTCACTCTTGTGGGTTCCTTGACATGCTGGCTCAGAAAGTTCCTTGTTGCCACTTCCAAGAGTTTAGCTCTCCATGTATCTGCACCACCATGTGGGTCCCCATTCTCCCAGTCTATCCATGGTTGAAATCGGCCATGATTAAGAGTCTTGAGCCATTCCTGCAGGCAACTGAAGCTGCTCTCTCTATTATATTAATGGTTGCCGTGTTGTTCCTATCAAACTCCTGTCTGTGTCTTCTGTCATTTAGGGGAGGGTTGTAAATGACTGCCACTAATATCTTAGGTCCACCCATTGTTATAGTTCCTGTTATGTAATTTCTGAACCCGTCACATCCCGGAATTTCCATCTCATCAAAACTCCAGTCCTTCCTTATCAGCAGGGCCACTCCTCCACCTCCTCTCCCTTCCCTCTCTTTCCTTACTATATAGTAGTCATTTGGAAACACAGCATCTGTTATGACTCCTGACAATTTTGTATTTAATTTTGACAATTAGTGTGTGCGTGTGTCAAAGAAATGTAGGTAGTGGACATAATAGAGGAAAATAGATTGGTTAGAAAGCCTTAGTCCAAGAGCTAATAGCTCGATCTGCAGGCACAAATAGTAAATGGTGTGCATGCACAAACACGCACACCATTCTGCCTTTTATCAGCGAGCAACACATGAGACAGCCTCACACGAGCACCTTGCGTCACCCAGGCTGGCCACACTCTCCCACGGTTATCGCACATGTTTACCTCTCCAACACTGCCAAATAAATTATCTTAGTGAATGCGCGTGTTATATCGTACGAGACAGGGGGCGGGGCCAAGAGCGGACTTCAGAGACGCGCAGTGGTAAGACCTTAGCTTGGCATTTCGCGAGCGCTTTGTCCTGGGTTCGTATCCTGGCCGGGGTGGATTTATTAGGCGTCAATCCTTAACTGTAGCCTCTGTTTACCCAACAGTAAAATGGGTACCTGGTTGTTAAACGATTTGGCGGGTCGTATTCCAGGTACAAATCCATCTCAAATCGATGGATTTGTGCACTTAACAGTGCAAAAATCATCGTCTGGCATTTAACAGTGCAAAAATAATAATAAAACAGTGCAGTGTTTCGGCGTCAACATAAGCTTCACGCCGAAGAGCAATATTGTAGAGGCTGTAGAATGCAGCATTTCCCAGGCTGTAATCAGCCTCATAAATACTGATGAAACATAATGGTCCTCAACCCTGGCCATTGCTGCTTGAAGGGAAAAGAACTTGTTGGATGTGAGAACTGGGTTATGGGCACATACAGAGCTGACACTCCAGGGCTTCTTCCAGTCCTCCTCCTCCCACGCCGAACCATATCTACGTCCCCTCCAGCCTCACACACCAACCCTTGGTCTTGACCACTCTCCAACTCTAAGCTTTTGTCTAGACCCCCCCCCCCCCCCCCACCTCCAGCTCGTAAGTCCAGGCATCCCTCCAACTCTAAGCCTTGGGTTGAAAGTCCATGACATCCCATACTCGTACTCGGAGCCTCTGAGCCTTGGTCCAAATATGCACACGATGGGAATGAAGATAATCTCTCATGTTCCATGGCGCTCTTCGGCACCGACAAAAAACCTATACAGAGTACTGTACATTCCTAGTTGACTTCGTCGGTAGCGCCACCCGGCTAAGTGAGTGTTGAAGATGTAATTAGATCAGATCAGCTAAATTCTGAGGAAGGAGATACCCGTCCCTCAGTATCCCCCTCAGGAAAACACAGACTAGGGACGTGACCCGATTCTCAAGATGAAGGTACGAGACGTTACTACGGAGAGATGTTGAAACACACAAGGCACGACTGGGAAACTGGATTATAGGAAACTTGCTAAATCCAAGGCAAATAATAGAGTTTTGGTCCACTATTCGGTGCAAACATTAAACGAACTGAATACTGTTGTTTTTTCTAACAATCCCAACATTATATCTCTAAATTAAGTATGGATAAAACAGGATAATCATATATTATCGAAATAATCCATTCCTAAATGCAGCGTTCTCAATAGATACCATATGTATAACACAAGAGGTGCTATATATATATATATATGTAACAAATATTAAAATTTGTATAAATTCATTAGCAAGAATTAGACACCTTCGATAATTTTTGTTTTATGTGTATACACATCCTGTATAAAATTCGTTTTGTATGAAAATTTATATAATTCTAGACAACGTCTGTGCTGTAACAGTAGACAACTTTAATAACCGAGATATAAACTGTAACATTAATTTATGATAACTGTGCAGCCTGTCCTCCTAAGGTTTCCCAACGTCAAGAAACTCTCGTACTTATCCTAACCTGCCAGAGGACCCAAAACAGAAAACGGTACAGTACGTCAATTTCGCGAGCCGCTACCCTTTTCTAGTACGACGATTTTTGGATTTAGAGTATACGTCAAGCTGCGACGTTATATGAAGAGGACGGGTTGAATTGTAACATTATCAGGTTAATTAGCATAAATAATTGGCATGACAGAGGATATCTTGGCCCGGACATGGATCCAACACAGATACCCGATGAACCCAACACCAATGGACCCAACGGACCCAACACGTAGACCCAGCGGACCCAACACTAATACTACACACTATGTGAGGTACCCAGCAGCGCCCAAAATAGTCTGGGTCTTCCCCCAACCCTCCATTCCATCCGTTTTCTTTCCCCACATTTTCCGTCTTCGGAATCTACCATAACCCCTACCCCCCCCCTTCCTTCGAACAGATAGACATCTATTTATATAAGTTAAGTTGAAGAGGTACCCGGTTGTATCCGGGTCTCTTTTCTCCCCTCTTTCTGCCCTTTCTCCCTCTTCCCCCACTCTTCACCCCAACTTCCCTTTGACCACCTCGTCTCCATCCAACGCCCTCTTCCGTCACTTCCCTAGTCCTACCCCCTTTAACTCTTCCCTTGCTTCTACTCCCTTCTCCTCCTTTCCTCCAGAAAAATTACACTTAAGCGTTGAAACAACTATACGGGTCCTTCGGAAAATATATTATTACGATAACTGAAAACTCTAGGGAGAATTACACCATATATTTCACACTTGACTAGATGAAAGTCCCATGTGGGTGTTTCTATAATTTCAAATATTTCTTGAGGCATTTGACGTAGGCCCTAATCCAATATTGGTCGGATTAGGGTCCGTGGTTTCGGGTCCGTCCTGTACCCTAAACCATTCCACTGACAAATTTGGGTGAGGCTAGCCCCTAGCGTCTGGCCTTCAACTTTGGACAGACAGATAGACAGACAAAAAGGCATTCTCTTATAGATATTATATAATTGTAAACACACACACACACAAACACTCTCTCTCTCTCTCTCTCTCTCTCTCTCTCTCTCTCTCTCTCTCTCTCTCTCTCTCTCTCTCTCTCTCTCTCTCTCTCTCTCCTCTCTCTCTCTCTCTCTCTCTCTCTCTCTCTCTCTCTCTCTCTCTCTCTCTCTCTCTTTACTCTTCGTCTCGACAAGTTAGTACGCTATTTACGCCAATTTACATGAGCGAGGCCTTCATCTCCTCGGCCATAACCCACCACCTCCTTACGCGGACGCTGTAACCTCTGACTGGTAACGACATATAAACTCTCAACCCGGTCAACCCCCTTGTCATCTTTCTCATTGGAATAAACTGTGCATCTTATATATATCTCAGCATGGCTTGAACACAACGGTACTTGACTTGACACAATCATCAAAGACCTTGATGTGACGTCACAGACGCGCATCGAGTACTTTTATTCCTTCAAGCTGATTCCTCACCCCATCTGCTGTAACTTCATGTTGTTTACTCTCTCACTTAAGGGCGTCCTCTCCTCTACCTCTGGGAGGTGCTCAGCTTCAAGTCTGTCTCTCTCTCTCTCTCTCTCTCTCTCTCTCTCTCTCTCTCTCTCTCTCTCTCTCTCTCTCTCTCTCTCTCTCTCTCTCTCTCTCTCTCTCTCTCTCTCTCTCTCTCTCTCTTTTACTCTTCGTCTCGACAAGTTAGTACGCTATTTACGCCAATTTACATGAGCGAGGCCTTCATCTCCTCGGCCATAACCCACCACCTAACGCGGACGCTGTAACCTCTGACTGGTAACGACATATAAACTCTCAACCCGGTCAACCCCCTTGTCATCTTTCTCATTGGAATAAACTGTGCATCTTATATATATCTCAGCATGGCTTGAACACAACGGTACTTGACTTGACACAATCATCAAAGACCTTGATGTGACGTCACAGACGCGCATCGAGTACCTTTATTCCTTCAAGCTGATTCCTCACCCCATCTGCTGTAACTTCATGTTGTTTACTCTCTCACTTAAGGGCGTCCTCTCCTCTACCTCTGGGAGGTGCTCAGCTTCAAGTCTGTGCACTTTCTTAAAACTTTTTATTTAGAATTTCATATACTTCTTTCCCAGTTTTGTTTAGTCGCCTTCTTCCCGAATTAGTCTAATTAGATGGTCGTTTATATACATTTTCCTCCTGGTGTGACCGTAGTAGTAGTCTCCGTTATTCTTTAGCTCTGGATGCTGTATTATTCTATTGCTTCTCAGTTCCTCTTGTGATTCTCACATATTCGTCCTTTTCTCTAATACAGTTGTTTCAGTTTTCCACTATCCTACTCTCCCTGTATTTCTTTTTTTCCTTCCAAGTCCTTCTGCTTTTCTATCTTACCTCAAGGTTCTGTCTGTTAAACAATGGATTGACAGTGTGTTTTGCTTCTTTGTCTCAAAGTAATGGAATGACTCTATCTTCAGCTTGGGAGTACTTGTATTTAATATAGCCTATCATGTCATGCACAGAAGCGCTCCTGAGCTCTGTTGCACATTGCATTTTTTCCGAAAATGTATTTACTCTGCCAGAGTCACGGAGACTCCACAAACACACAACTGCCCCCCCCCCTCCCTACCATAACTGACCTACACACACACACACACATATCACAACAGCCTGGCTGAACAACTCGGCACTAAACGAGGCGGAGGTGGTTAATAGATGCTTCAGAATGAAGGTCAAAGGTCGGTAATGGCGTGACGACAAATGGAAAGATGTGACCTTCCCTATGTGGCATTACACACACATGGAAGCTGCCGCCGCCAGCCTAGCGAAGAAACCTTGAATGGCGGATCAAAGCTCACTAAAGGAAAAGTTTCATACCGGAAAAATGCCTTGCGGATATAAGGTGTAAACTTAATGATAAGTCGAATGCTAACACTTTGTAAACAAAATTAAAATAATTTAATATCTATAACAGTTCTTAATATATATAAAGTGTAAGTCACCTATTTAGTTATCAACTAACAGCTTTTAGTTAATTTAATTTATAATGCATCTCCTACCCATCCTGCTAACGTTAGTGGACCTCATATTTATCCTGTGATCAGTAGTGGATCCTATACTCATCCTGTGATCGTTAGTGACCATACTCATCATCTGATCATTACTAGACTCCATACTCATCATCTGATCATTACTAGACTCCATACTCACCTGTGATCGGTATTGGACCCTCATACTCACCTGTGATAGGTAATGGACCCCCATACTCATCCTGTGATCGCTAGTGAACCCTATACTCATCTTGTGATTGGTAGTGTACCCCCTACTCATCTTGTGATCGGTAGTGTACCCCCTACTCATCTTGTGAGTTGTAGTTTATTGTGCCCACATACTAATCTTGTGAGCGGTAGTTTATACTCATCCTATGAGCGCAAAAAAGGAGTACAGGGGCGCAAAATGTCTTAATGAGCGTTTATTTTTACATAATTAATAACAAATTCTCATAATTACAACGACAGCATGCAACAGACGTCTTGCACTGCAACTACTACGTATTTACAAT